TTACTAAAGATATTGAGCATCACACAAAAAGAGGGTTGGCAAAAATGTGCGGTTGAGACATGTTTTTGCCACCCACCAAGTGTCCCCCACCCCCTTAAGCTGCAATAGGCAGTGGACAGGGGTGTTTACATGCTGCGGGTATGATGCTTCGTGCCAATGGAAGAGGTTACCTGACATTCAAGTAAGTGAGAAAGCCCTGCAACCGTTTGCAATGCAATTGGTTGCTACACTTGTCATTTAAAAATGGGGTTAAAACAGGTGATGAGCAGGCGTCATATCACTTCCTCACCTCCTGTCACTAGCCTCTGAAGTGCGATCCGAATGCGGATCGGGCTTCAGAGGAAAGGGAGATGTAGAAGCATGTGTAAATCTATGCTTAAGCTGAACTCCAGCTATGATCTTTATTGCATATTTTCACTGGTCCTTGTATTCATTAATAAAAAATAATCCAAGAAGTTCTGTGAATGCAGTGCAAAGCGGGTGACCCCCTGCGGTTTCTGTGCAGAAGAGACGCTGCTTTGCACAGTACCCTGAAGATCCCTGCTACCACTGTAGTAGAGGCAACTACTACAGTAATCGCCAGCTTTCACTGGGATCAGTCAGGTATGAGATCTGCATACTTACATTGGTCCAGCAATAAACATAATATGCAATAAAAACAATACCTAGAGTTTAAAGTGATACTACACATACAATATTTAATTGGCGGTATCCCTTCTATATGTGTATAAAGATCATGCCACTGTATTTAATTTAACCACTTCAGCCCCCGGCCAATTCTGACATGTCTCACATATACCGTATTTTCCGGCGAATAAGACGACCCCCTACTTTTCCTGTTAAAATATAGGGTTTGAGCTATACTCGCCGTATAAGACTACCCCTCTTCCAACACACACCAAATAAAAATGAAAAAACATCAGATTTGATTTCAATATGGTATGCTATTTCAGTATGGTATTCCAATGATGGGACACTATTCCTCCCACTGACACCAATGATGGGGCACGATTCTTCCCACTGATACCAATGATGATGAGGCACTACTCCTCCCACTGACACCAATGATGGGGCACTATTTCATCCACTGACACCAATGATGGGGCACTATTCCTCCCACTGATACCAATGATGGGACACTATTCCTCTCACTGACACCAATGATGGTGCTCCATCATTAGTGTCAGTGTGTGAGGAATAGTGTCCCATCATTAGTGTCAGTGGGAGGAATAGTGCCCCATCATTAGTCAGTGGGAGGAATAGTGCCCCATCATTGGTGTCAGTGGGAAGAATCGTGCCCCATCATTGGTGTCAGTGGGAAGAATCGTGCCCCATCATTGGTGTCAGTGGGAGGAATAGTGTCCCATCATTAGTGTCAGTGGGAGGAATAATGTCCCATCATTAGTGTCAGTGGGAGGAATAGTGCTCCATCATTGGTGTCAGTGGGAGGAATAGCACCCCATCATTGGTATCAGTGGAAGGAATAGCGCCCCATCATTGGTATCAGTGGGGAGAATAGTGCCCCATCATTGGTGTCAGTGGGGAGGAGGAATAGTGCCCCATCGTTGGTGTCAGTGGGGGAGGAACAGTGCCCCATCGTTGGTGTTAGTGGGGGAGGAACAGTGCCCCATCGTTGGGTGTCAGTGGGGAGGAGGAATAGTGCCCCATCGTTGGTGTCACTGAGGGAGAGGAGCAGCTGCTCCTTCTTTCAGTTCGGCCGCTCGATTTTCGCGGGTCCGCTCGGCTCTGCCTCCTCGCCGGTGATTGGTCGCCTGTGTGCCTTTCCAGTGCTGGCGCCCAATCACCGGTGAGGAGGAGGTGGAGCCGAGCGGCCGCGCGACCATCGAGCGGCCGAACTGAAAGAAGGGGCAGCCGCGCTTCCTGGACCGGATCGTCGTGGGACCTGGACCGGAGCCAGGTAAGGTACAGCAGCCCCCTGCCCACCCCTGTACTTAGTGTCCGTTGGAGGAGGAGGAGGGGAGCGGCGCTGCCCCTCGAAAAAGTGCCGCCCTGACACTGGCTCGCCGTATACCGGCGTATAAGACGACCCCCGACTTTTCAGAAGATTTTCATGGGTTGAAAAGTCGTCTTATACGCCGGAAAATACGGTATGTAAAAATCTACATTAAACTATCCATAGGTGACGCTTTAAAAGCCTTTACAGGGTACCACTTTAGATTTAAAGAGGAGGTCTGGTGCTAGAATATTTGCCCTCGCTCTGACGTTTGCGGTGATACTTCACATGCGTGGTGCAATCGCTGTTTTATGTATGCGTACATCACCATTACACATGAGCACAGGGTGACAGGGGCACTTAAAATTTTTTTACGTTTTTTTTATTTTTACACTTTTTTTTTTTTTCTCAACTATATTTCTCTCACGGGATGAACAACATTATACCCCACATCTCTCCTCTGTTCTTCAAAGCAACAGATCAAACCAAGATCGTTTTGATCTGATGCTTTCCCAGGCCAGTATTGGCTTTTTTTACATCATGGCAAAACTGGGGTGACAAAGTACTCATCGTTTCCAGTTTCTTAGACCATAGAGATGATCAGGGACATTCCAGTCCTCAGTCATCTCTATGATCAGCCAGCAGAAACGCAGACTTCAGTCCTGGGCTCCCCAGTGGCATGGGAGAGTCCAGGAAGGTGGTGAGGGGATTGACAGTCAATCTAACCAGTGAGGAGAGAGACAGCGGCCAGAGCCACTGCTCTCATGCACATTGCTGGACCAGATCGGGCTCATGTAAGTATAGGGGGAGGGGGGGCTGAGGGGATCCTGCAGCACAGAAGGTTTTTCACCTTAATTCATTAAGGTGAAAAACCTTAAGGGCTCATGTGCACTGCAGCTGCTAAACTGACGTTCCAGAGCTGTTCAGTGTTTTTTTTCAGCAGCCCCTGAACTCTCCCTAATGTTTTGGTATGTGTCCATGTACACATTGTCGTTTACAGGCAGTTGAGTTTACAATCATTTTTTTGAATGCACCAAACTTGCGTTCAGGAGTAGATTTTACCGGCGTTTCAAACATCAAACGCTTCTAAACGCATGTAAACATGGTTAAGTGTTTGCCTTTAGAAGCATTTTTTAACTGTTCCATGTCCAGATGCTGTCCAGAGCCTCTTTTCATCATCAGAAATGCATGCAAAGCGTTTTCCATGTATTCAAATGGACCCGGTACACCAGCGCAGTCAATTCCAGGTTTTGCTTGAAGGAAAAAATGGCAGAACGTGCCGCATTATGCTCATGATGGGATCCATAGTGAATACAACCAGAAAAGACAGGTCATCTCAACACATTCTGCTCTTCTGCTTCTGCTCTCTCTATTTCTTTAAAATGTTTGAAATAGTTAATTATTTACTATTTTTCAATGCATTCTGGGCATTTGGGAAGGTCTCCTGAGGTTATCTTTTATAAATGCTTTTAAACGCAAACAAGCAAAAACGCGGCCAAACTGACGTTTTTATACCCTTCACGCCGGATCGTCCCGGCGTGAAGAGGAGTTCCTGCGCTGGGAGGTGGACGGGGCTTCGTGTCATGTGGCCGCCGTGACGTCATGTCACGGCCGGTCACATGATCGGGAAAGGTCCCGATTGAAAGAGCGGACCGGACCTTTCCGTGAGGTACCTCACATGATGCTGGGAGCAAGGGTCCGATTGAAAACGAGCGGACCGGGACCTTCTTTTTTCCAGCAGGGAGTGTCCATCGTTCAGAAGAGTCTTCCTAATGCCCCGTGTACATGAGCCTTAATGCTTTAGGACCACTTTAAGTTGACTGACAATAGCTAACATTTTGCTCACACTGTAAAGATATGTGGAGGAGGCTCTGCCAATCACAGGCTGTGTCACTCCCTATTAAACAGTGCATTGAGGTTGGCTTGTAAGTTGAAGACATCCTGTAAGGACATTATATAGTTACATAGTTAGTCTGGCTGAAAAAAAAAGACAAAAGTCCATCCAGTTCAACCATAGAAAAAAAATAAGTTATAATCCTATACCCAGTTGATCCAGAGGAAGGCAAAAAAAAACCAGCAAAGCATGATCCAATTTGCTCCTGCTGGTAAAACTCCCCTCCTGCTTTTGTCCATGTTGTGTGTGTACTGGGACTATAAGGGAGGTGAAGCCTTCAGATAAAAAAAAAGGAGGAAATAAACCGTTTAGAAGGGAAGTGAAACTGGAGCATGCTCAGTGGTGTTGGCAACGGCTGGTCTACACAATCTCTCAATCTCTCAGGCTGCAGTGGGAAGGACAGTGAACAGCAGCATCAGCTAGCTTTTTGAAATCTACAGAAGACAAGTCAATTTATGTATGGACACAATGTAATATAGCATGTATTGACATTCTGTAATTATGTAGCTTTTCATTTGAGTTATTTGTTTAATTCTGGTACTTACATAGTGCCGTCAATTTACGCAGCACTTTACATATATATTGTACATTCACATCAGCCCCTAACCCACAAGGGGCGTACAATCTAAGGTCCCTAACTTACATTCATACATACACATACTAGGGACAATTTAGACAGGAACCAATTTACCCACCAGCATGTCTTTGGAGTGTGAGAGGAAACAGGAGTACCCAGAGGAAACCCACGCAGGCACAGGGAGAACATGCAAACTCCAGGCAGGTGGTGCCATGGTTGGGATTCGAACCAACGACCCTAGTACTGCCAGGCGGAAGTGCTAACCATTTAGCCACTGTGCTGTCCATTTATAACACAACATGCACAATTGGTGAGACCTGAGTAAAGTCTTGGGAAAAAACCGTCTCACTAGATTCTAGCTAGCAGTAATTGGTCGCATTCAACTAGACTTGTCCTTTCATTTTGAAGACGTGCTGTAGCTTCTCCAAACCACGTGTCTCCAAGCCACGACTTCGGTTCTTATGAGTGTTATGCCGGACAGTCTTCTCAGATTAGGATAAGGACTGTCCTGGTTTTGCCATTTACAGTAATCTTCTCTCTTTTATATTGCAGACTGAAAGCCTGTGAACTCTAAAATGACCTCGCTGGCATGTGACTGCCCCCATTTAGAATCTGTGGGTGAGGTGACCAAAGAAGAACTTATTCAGAAGTCACACGTAAGTGCATTCTGGTCGGGGGTAACGTAAGAGATTGTTCAAAAATTGTATGCTAATATGATAAATTAGAGTTTTTCTTTTTTTGTACATGATTCTTTGTACTTTGTCTGTGTACATTATACCAGTAGCACAAACTTGTGTTCTTTTTGCTACTTTGCTTGGTAAATATTTAGCAAAAGTGCCTGAATTTCAGTGTGGGAGCCAGTTCAGTACTCTGCATTAATACATTCCTGACATGTCACAAGGTACAAAACTATATTTAGACTCTTCCTTATATAAATAAAAAAGTCCTTCTTTTTATAATTAAAAAGCAAAGCTTGCGCTCTAATCAGCAGACTTTGTCTAGGTTGCATGTAGGCAGAAGTATTTCCTCAGTCTCCTCTCCCCCAGTGATCAGACTATACATTGTAACTCTGTAGCAAGTCACTAGATGAGAGACTGCAGCAGTGGCTTATCTCTGTCAAACATTTGTGAACACAACCAAGAACTGCACAGGCACCAAGATTTACAGGATTGTGTCATCTCTGAGCTGGCATCTCGGTCTGGGAAGTAGATGCTGATCCTGGGTGACGCCATGCACTCAAAATGTAGGCAGCAGCTTCAATTTTTTTTTTTTTTTGGGGGGGGGGGGGGGCATGTCAGCTGTATAGTTTTTGGATTTTGTGCATCCTTGAATTAAAGAGCACCTTTGCAATCCAGGTTCAATGTGTTGTAGAATAATGTCATGACATACATATAGTAAGTTCCAATGACAATTCAAGGGCTGTATTGAAAGTATTGCAAAAGTTGGCATAACTTTTTTTGGTTAACTTACATAACCTAGGTCATTCAAATTTCACATGTTGGCAGAGTAACTTTTCATCACAGGTAAGTAATGGATTCTAAGCAGAAGCAATCGTTGAGTTCTTGATGAAGGAGGGGTTCAGATGACTACAGAATGTTTATGGAGATTGTACCAATCAGAGCAATGTCTTGTCATTGGGAACTTTTGTCAATGGTATCATCTCTGTACACATTCTGTAGCCTTCTGTGGATGATGGACAGCCTGCACCCCTCCTTCGTCAAGAACTCAGTGATGACACATTGCTTCTGCTTGGAATCTATTTGCAATGAAAAAGAAGAAGAGTTACCAACGCGTGAAATTGGAACGACCGATGTAACTTAAAGTGGAACTGCACTGCATCTGAGCAATACACACCAAAAATGCTATTTAGTTCATTGTTAATATTCAAATCAAACTCCCCCATCCATCCATCCATCCATTTCTCCATTCTTTATTTTGCTGTGAAACCATTTGGAAAAACACCCCCTGGCATTTCTGGCAGTTGCCATTTTGATTAAGGGCAGACAATTCATGTAGCTTTTACTTCTTGGAAATCCATGTGTCCTTAGCTCAGGCATTGGCTGAACTGAGAACCCTCCATTCCCTCTTGAAGACTCCTGGGCAGGGGCGGACTGACAACTCATGGGGTAATAGGGGATCATGGGGCCCCTGTGTCTTTGCTCAAACTCAAAAAAGCCTATGAAAAAGGTACCAGGGGCATCTCATGGGGCCCCCTACTGACCCCGGGTCCTCGGGCAGTGCCCGAGTTTCCAAATGGTCAGCCCGCCCCTGCTCCTGGGATGTATGACATCATTTGCCTAGGCATGGAAACCGGAAAGTAACTGAAGAAATTTAAAGAAAGGAAGTTTAAAACAAGTACATTTGATATATTTTTCTATCCATTTATTAATGCTAGCAGCATAAGGATTAAACATAGTCAATGTTGATTGAGAGAGTAAAGTTTTACATTAATAAAAAGTTATGAACATTTTTGCATTACTTTCAGTACACTCCTCGGTACACAACACATATATTGCATATGATGGATCAATCCATTGAACATCTGTAAACGTACAATAGAACCTGCAGTAGTGGTTTTGTATGTTTGTTTTTTTGTATATTGAAAAAAGTGCACAATGTGTGTAAAAAAATGTTCAATAGCAAAATCTGGAAACAAAAGATCCCCTGTATAATGTGGTTAGCTGATATACTTGATTCCACTTTTAATAGGGTACAGAGCATTTTAGAAGTGTCATACTACAGTACAGTGGGTGTCCATATTGTTTATCTGTTACCATGTCAAAGCAAGCCAATAGCACCTTGGGTGAGGAAGAGATTGTGAATTCATTGTCCCTCCTCTCTACCCATCCAATCAAGACATGTCTTGTATTTATTAAAAAAGATGAAAGCCGCTTACACAGGACCTGGAAGATGGCTACTATCATTGTAGTAGATCCAACTACTACAGTGATTGTCAACCTCCCTAGCTGCCTCACTCGGCTATGAGATATACATACTTGCAATGGTCCAAGCTGGACCAATGTAAGTATGCAATACAGATCATACCTGGAGTTCAACATTAAAGTTATTCTAAAGGTACATTTTTTTTATTTTTGTTTGTAAAATAACAAACATGTTATACTTGCCTGCTGTCTGCACAGAGCAGCCTGGATCCTCCTCTTCTCCCCGCAGGCTCTCCTGGCTCCTCCTTTCTGTCGGTTCCTCCCACAGCAAGTAGCTTGCTATGGGGGCACTCGCTGATCTGTGTGTCCATTCACACACAGAGCTGCGGCTTGCCACCCCCCCCCCCATTGGCTGACTGGCAGCAGCAGGAGCCAACGGGGGGGGGGGGGGGGGGGTAAAGCTTTCATCTACTCCTTCTTTTTTTTTTTTTTTTTTTTTTTTTTTTTTTTTTTTTTTTTTTTTTTTTATGTATGACATTTGTTTGGAGGTTAAAATCTGGATGAATTTGGTGTAATGTTGGTGTTCTGAGATACTACTGGAGGTCACTGTTAAGCCTGTCAAACATTACTTTACAGTCTAGTCTTCTAATGTTGCCACAAGACTTGATAAGGCATTGAGTGTAACTCCTCCGTAGTACATTTGAACCTTCATGGTAGAACCAAGTGCAGTATCTCACTCCTTAGTCTCCACCATTAAAGTATTGCCACAACTTACAAGAAAAAATCATTGTTGAATACCCCAAGGAAGCAAGTGCATGTAGCACTTGGCACCGTTCTGACCTGTCTTGTGGTTTCTCAGCTAGCATGGTCGACAGTGCCCCACCCCCACCGCTGTTTAAAGCTAAAGTCCAAAAATTCATCAACTTTGCAAAAAGTCAAGGCACACTATGAGTTAAGTCCAGTTAGGTGCATAGATTGTAAGCTCTAACGTGCAGTGCTCTCTCATCCAGGGGCAACTGACAACTCATGGTGCCCCTGGGCAATAGGGGATCATGGGGCCCCTGTGTCCTTGCCCAAACTCAAAAAAGCCTATGAAAAAGGTACCAGGGGCATCTCATAGGGGCCCCCTACTGACCCCGGACCCTCGGGCAGTGCCCGAGTTTCCAAATGGTCAGTCCACCCCTACTCTCATCCCTTCTGTATGAAATTGTATTGTAATTGCATTGACTGCACTTATATTGTAAAGCGCTGTGTAAACTGTTGGCGCTATATAAATAATGTATAATAATAATGGCACCTATATCTGGCAGTGAGAGAAGAGAAGCTCACACAGCAGCTATTACCACCCCTCCCCTCTGCTGCCCATTCACAGAAGCCTTTGTATTTTGCGAATGAGTTGACATGATACAAAAGCTTCTGTGAATGGGCAGAAGGAGGGAAGGGGCAGGCATAGCAGTTCCAGCGACTCTGCTTCTGAAGGAACCGAGACCACAGTGAGCAGTCAGAGCTCCGGAAGTTACTTTCCTGGAGTACAATAAACCTGTTCGATCTGAATAATAGAGATAACCTATGAGGTGGGTCGCACTTCATTAGACTTACCTCATGGTATGCCTGCATTTCTGGAATTCAGCTTTAACCATGTTGTTCAGCAGGAGATGAATATAGGGAGCAGACAGACATCGTTCAATTTGTATTGCTTGAGGCTATGACATTTCCTGTCAGTGGCTATGATGATTGTTTTGGCAAATCAGCCACAGGCACTCCACTGGTGCAGTGTCCAGTACCAGTTGAGGTTCTCCAGCTAGTTGGGATGTCCTTCAGCCTCTAGTACACTCCCTAAAGTAGCTGTAAATGACTTGACAATCATCCAAGTGTTGCATTAGTCCATTGTTTTCTTTGGGCTGTGTAGCATAGTACATCATAGCCCATAGCAATAAAAAAATCAAATTTTGCTGTCATGTTTCCTGTCTACGGTTATCTAAACTTGACACTGTAATGTTTTATAGGGAATATGAAATATATTAGAATATGGTACTGACTACATTAGTGCATGGGCAGAACTAATATTCAGGGTTGTGGGTTTGAGAATGACTGCTTCTGACTGTGGATTCTGAATTGGTTACCTGGCTTTGTGACAGGTTCTCTTTAGTCTTGCCCAGAGTTTGACACGGTGTCGCACCATGTATCAGTGTAAACAAGCATGCTGTAACTGCAGCATTTTTCTCATAACATTTCTCTAAACCGCAGCTGTCAGGAGCTCTGAGCTTCCACACGTGCCAATTTCCAGCTATGCAGGCAATTTCCTGCCTTTACTTCTGCACTGAAGTATAATTCAGCTCTGCATCAATTTTTAATCTTAGCATTTTTATCTCCAGAGCGGAGACGGCAGAACGTGCAGAGTTGCAGTTGTGCGGGTGAAAGCCGGGTTATGTTAGGCCCCAAGCGCAACATGTTGTTCCAGCTGGGGGTGAAAGATTTAGAAATGGCAATGATTCTCCTCTAATTGTCTTCTCTTGATGTTGTCTACAGGGCAGCTGCCTGGACTGCAAAGTCAGAGGACCAAACCTTTGGGCTTGCTTAGAGGTAAGAACTGTCAGGAACAATTGTTACAGATGGCTTTACATTTCCCTGTGCTGGATGCTGTAGACATATCACTCTTTATTTTTGGCAGAATGGCTGTTCTTACATTGGCTGCGGAGAATCTCACGTGGACCATAGCACCACTCATTCTCAGGTCAGTGTTTTTCAATTCAACTGTCCTCTGGCAATGGAGTACTTATCCATGCCTTCTCTGGTATACCTATGGCCCTTCCGATCCATTAGGCCTGTGTAAACAGCGCATTTAGACATCAAAAGGCTATTTTTTCCTGGCTTAGATCCCATCTCTGGCCAAGTCTGATTTTTTATTTTTTTTGCTATATATACACGGGGGTTTAAAAAACATAGATGGATAGATAGATAGATAGATATTGAGTTGCTGCCATTTGATTAGCTGATTAGCAATTTTTGTAACCAAGCAGTTGAGCAGGAGTACCTATTAAAGTGGCCGGTGAGTGTCTATGTATAAATACATACATACCTACACACTCACTGGCCACTTTGTTAGGTACACCTGTACAGTTGCTTGGTTACAAAAATTGCTAATCAGCCAATCACATGGCATCTAGACGTGGTGAAGACGACTAAATGAAATTCAAACTGAGCATCAGAATGGGTAAGAAAAGGGGATTTAAGTGACTTTGAATGTGGCATGGTTCTTGGTGCCAGACAGGCTTGTCTGAGTATCTTTTTCGAGATGATAGAAAGGCAACAGTAACTCAAATAAACACTTGTTACAACCATGTAGAACCTTGAATCAGATGGGCTACAGCAGCAGAAGACCACACACATATATTTATGTATATATTCTTTTTTTTTTTTCTTTGATCTTCACCCACCTTCCTAATCATCTTCCCTCAGGGGCTCAGGGAGGAGGAGTCTGCAGGGCTAAGTCACATAAGCATGCCTTGCAGAACTAGCGGAGGTTGGGTGGTCTCAAAGGATATGTTTACTTTTTGGAGCATGGTACACTGGTATTTATGGTGTAACGTGTAACAGGCTTCAGCACATATCCTCCTAACACCCCCTGATCGTCTCTCCTGTTATAGTAGGCAATCGATCCTGTCCCTGCACCTGATGTCACATTTTAGAATACTGCATGGCTTCGCCTGCAAAGCCACATCATTCATGCACAGAGATCTGTGAATGAATAAACTACATGTCCTGTCTGCCACCATGGTATACGAACATGTAGTTCTCAAAGGAACACAACTGCAGTAACCAGCACACTCACAGTCCAATAACATTTCCTTCAGCTCTGCAACTCAAAGCCTGTATAGAAGTACAGAGTCCGAGGAGGAGTTTGCAGGACCCTGACATCGCATCTGAGATCCACTGATAGTGGGTTCAGTGCTTTGCAAGCTGCTATTAAAAAATAAATACATAAATAATAAATGCACTTTTTTTCCCTGCAAAAATCTGTACAATTATTATTTTTTTTTAACGTGAACTTAGCCTTAAGGAAACGTGTCATGAAAGTGTGTTCCCCCCAGTTTTAGATTGACAGTGCTCTACATGCAGTGGAGCCTAATTGGCTCTCAGTGCTGGCTATCACTCTCCCAGTATGAATTTTTCTGTAAGGAAAAAATACAAGCTAATATAAAGACAGATGGAGGTACAATATCAAAAAAAAAAAAAAAAAAAAAGCATCACCAAAACAATTACCATGACCGCTTGCGGTCTTTGGTGAGCTTAATGTGGAAAAGTGGCCTAATGACGACACAGATAGCAATAAAAAAGCTGGCCTAGAATCTAACCTTCCTCATTCAATACAAAACTAAAGAAAAAAGTTGGTATTCAACTCTGATGATAATTTCATTTACCGTAAGGGGCCACCACTGTATTATACCATAAATTGTACACCAGTATTTCCCACTGCTTTTGTTAGGTAGGAACCAACCTTGTAGACATTTTCTAATGTATCACATGTCGGCTTACTCCAGGGGGCGTATTTATAAACCAGTGAATGTGACATTCACCCAACATTCACTTTAAGTGAAACATTATAACAATTTCAACTCTTGGGGTGTGTCTCATACGTCTAGGCATTGAAAGGGTCAAAACAAGCTCAGGGTTACAGCTGTGAGCTCTTTTCTGCCTATTTCAGCAGGCCCAGGGCTTTTTTGTAAAAGTGATCTGGACATCTGTAGAGCCCCCAATCACTTTTATGGATCTTGCTGGGTGAAGCCCTCTCCTTGGTTCCTGGGCTCTCCTCTGTCTGGGATCACAACAAACAGCGTCAAGATGGCGAGCGGCAGGACACCAGGAAACATATGTTCCCTGTTGTCCTCAGCATAGTGTGAACTCAGAAGCTCTCAGCTCTGAGCATTTCTGGGTTGAGAGTACCTATCACCTGCCCAATGGCTATCACATAGCTAAAAGGAATAATAATAAGTGAACACAAATGTAAAATATGTTAAAAAGGTTAAATAGAATAAATGGGCAGGGTCGTTGATTCGAATTCCAGCCACAGCACCTCCTGCCTGGAGTTTGCATGTTCTCCCTGTGCCTGCGTGGGTTTTCTCTGGGTACTACGGTTTCCTCCCACACTCCAAAGATATGCTGGTAGGTGTCAGGAATGGACTCACCATTAGTGGTGGGACTCATCTGCCGTGTGGGCTGCAGTACCAGGGTTGGCCAGCTGGTGCTCTCAGCAACCAGAAGCTCACTCCTGCAATCAGCCATCACCTGAGGCTGATTGCAGGAGGTGTATTTAAGGAATGGCCAGACCTGCAGTCAGTGCCTTGGTGTATGTTTCCCATGAGCCCCTGTACCTGCATCCTGTCTGCTTCCTGCCTGATCCTGACTCTGCTTTGATCCTGACTCTGAACGAACTCCGCCTGTCCTGACCTCGGCTATTCCTGACCACTCTTCCGCTCGCTCCTGGTACCCTGTTTGCCCGTTTGCTACCGACCCGGCCTGCCTGACTACGTTTGATTTGTATATATGGTTATCTGTTGAAGTTTGGGTTGTTTGCACTGTGTTATGTTTACCTTGCACTGCGTTTGTGTTGTTTAGTCTTAATAAATTGTCTTATTTACACTATACCTGAAGCCTGCGTTTCCCTGTGTCAGTCCACACACCTCTGGTCATACCCGGAGCCCTGACAGTAGGTTAATTGGATCCTGTATAAATTGGCCCTTGTATATGAATGTGAGTTAGGGACCTTAGATTGTACGCCCCTTGAGGGTTAGGGACTGATGTGAATGTACAATATATATGTAAAGTGCTGCGTAAATTGATGGCACTATATAAGTATCTGAAAAAAATAATAAAATAAATAAATAAGAAAAACTAAAAAAAAGGAAAAATACCTCCATCACCCTGCATCACCTACATGTGTATGCAAACACGTGTAGGCTCTTATGCTGTACATACAAGGTTGAGTAATTCAGATACTTCAGTACACTTTTCTCTTAATTATATGTACAGATGTATGGCAAAAAATCATCAGCAACAACCTAAGTGCTGCTGTAGGAGTTTTTTTTTTTTTTTACTGTTCTGAGATACCTGCCTGGTGAGGCAGCCAACTTCTGCCCAGGACTCTCGTCTCTCCAGGATGACCTGCAATAACATGATCTGCATTGTATGACGGTATTGCCAGACAGGACTCCCTTCTCTGCAAAGATTTGTAGCATGTCTGCTGCCATTCACTTGCTCAAATGCTTTCACAGCCAGAAAGTGCAGAAACATTGTCAGGGAACCAGATTGTCTAGGCATTTTATCAGGAAGCTTCAGAAGGTCAAGGCCACTGAAGAGCCCAAACCAGTTTAGTGCAACCTTTAGAAATAGCAAGTGTCGAGTGATGCAGACGAGAGACAACGTAACTACAACAGACATACAGTACTACATAAATATTTCCAAAATAAAAAATAGTTGTGTAGCTACTGGTATTAAACATATCAATTGACTTTAATGCGTTCCCAGGCCTCTAATGCCCTGGTGCCAAACCTGCTGCCCTTTGGAGTTTGAGTTCCGTCCCTTGGGCCCCAGCAATCAGTAGTTGGAGCATTCTGGATTGGACCTTTGTCACACATGAAATCATGCTGAGCAGCTCCCCCTTCCATCTCAGTATTCGTTTCAGCAGGGAACCTGCAATGGGTGGAGTCGAGAACTCTTGGCTTACACATTTATACAGATCAGCAGATGGTGTTCTCAGATAGCCCAATGACTGATGTCCAATATTACAGCTATTGTTGACTGAAAAGCAGAAGCCATGGAAAGGTAGATGGTGCATCCATTGCAAAACCTGCCTCGCACCGCTTGCTGGGGGTAGCCTTTGCACGTCATGGCATTTTATGAGACCATTGAATTGCAGTCACTATCCAATTATGATGCAGGTGCAAAGAAAAAAAAAGTCTTCAGGCAGGAAGGACAGATGCCTGCTCCCTGTTTCCCCTTTCTTAGAGATTGTCCTGGGAGTCCTGAAAACCAGAGAGGTCTGTTATACAAATACAACCAGCTCCTGTGGACATGGGGCTGTGGTCCACCTCCCAAACCTCACTTCTAACCTATAATTGTGGTGGGGTGAACCTGTGCTCACAACCACAAGAGCTGGTTGCTATTTACAGAGCTGCCCCAGGCTTCTGGATAGACTTCAGCAGCTACAGTATATGTAGCAAATGGGTAGAGTTCCTCTTTAAGTAGTAAAAACCTGATGGGTTTTAACAGTTTCAGTTCTACCCAAAGTTAGAAAACTCTTTTTTTTGTTTTTTTTGACTTAAAATACACTTTATTGTTATTATTAGACCACATCATATATGTGGTCTTTGATTTTACCCCTAGTTCCACTTTAACCAGAACCAGATTTGTATTCTTCTCTTTGTTTCCAGTGAAATCTGAATGTGGGACTGGTGGTTTGGGATAGATAAACTTTTCTGAAAAGTATTTAAGTATTTCGGAAACACTGATTGGGCGATAAGCCAGCTTCCTGTGTCTGGTGAAACCTTCTGTAATTTTCCAGCACTGTGTATTTGCTGATGCAATCAGTCAGCTCTCCGGGGATTAGCTGTGTATGATTGCTTATTGGAAAGGAAGAGCACCCGTCCCCGTCTGACACAAGAGCTGAGAAACAGTCTTCTTGTTATTGTGCCGGTTCTCCTGGGATTGACACCCTAATAGTAGAACTGTACTGAGACAAACACAGAAGTGCCGCCATTGCTTGTCATCTATGAAAAATGCTAGTTGCAGGGTTATCGTTTACTCAATATTTTTTAGTCACTGGGCTGTAACAAGCATGCAACTAGTGAAATCAAAAGAAAAGTTACTACTCATGATCTGCATGTTTGTTTCAGGCCAGTGATTTAAATTATTGAAGCTTCTGAATCAACATAACAGTCGGTCAACCTTTTTTAAAAGGAGAGTTCACTGGTGACAGTCTGTTATTTCTCCATCTATATTTTAGTAAATACTTTTTATTTTGAAATCTTAGAGTAGTAAAAGCAATTCCTCTGTGTTAGCATTTCAACTGTGTATTCACCTGCTGGGTTGTGGTTGCATGTTAAAGTATATGTACATTGTAAACTCAACTACTAAGTAATTGAATATTTTTTTTTTTTTAAATAACAAACACGTCATACTTACCTGCTCTGTGCAATGGTTTTGCACAGCGCTTCTCAGGTCCCCTTCCAGCACTCCTGGCTTCTCCCCCCAGCCAAGTGCCCCATAGCAATCCATTTGCTTTTGGGGCACTCGTTCATGCTCTCTCCTGAGCTGACTCTGTGTGTCCATAAGACACAAAGAGTGCGGCCCAGCCCCAGTCAATCACTGGCTGTGATTGACAGCAGTGGGAACCAATGTCTCCTGCTGCTGTGTCTCAGCCAATGAGGAGGGAGAGAGCTGGGAGAGCCACTGCTCTCATGCACATCGTGGAATTGAGATCAGGCTTAGGTGAGTATAAGGGGGGACTACTGGTGGGGGGAAGCTGCATGCAGAAAGTTTTTTTTACTTTAATGCATAGAATGCATTAAAGCGGAGTTCCACTCACCCTGTCAAAAATAAAAGTCAATAATATGCAAAAAGGTAAAAGTGAGCACTAAAAAGCTGCTGTACACCGCAAAGGCACCAAAAAACCTCTTTAAACCAAACTGACAACAAAGGCGCAGCGCTGAAATTCCAATAACAATAGAATATAGAATGCAAATACTGATATACCGAGAAAATGGTCTGCAATAGTATGACCACAATTGCACAGTCTTATTGAGCATGTAATCCCACTTGTAATGGAAAGATAACTAAAAGTGACAGTAGTGCATATACATAAAAGTGACTACTCAGTGCCAAAGTCTATGTAATATATATAGATAAGGTAAGTGATCCACTGTGCGTCTTCTGGTGATCAAATATTCGAATTATACACTCACCAGATGCATAATTCCAATATACATATAGAAAAATATATCATCTCCATGGTTCAGTGGAATCCTCTTATGGGCATGTCTATCATCTCTGGGCTTCCCTCTGGGCACCTCTATCCTTTTATGGGGTTCCCTCTGGATCATCCGGTTGGATACTGCACCTCTGGACTCCCTTCCCTGAGGACTCTGTGGGTGGTGGACACAAGAGTCCCAAGAAAGGATGCCACAATGGTGTGATATCGTTTTTAAAAGGTCATTTATTGATCCATAGTAGACATAGACATAGTAGGTAAAGAAAAACTGACCATGAAAGGGTTAAAGATGGCCGCCGGCCCATGCAGGGACACAGCGGCGTGAAACAAAAACTGTAGCTGCAGACTTTTAAAAAACAGCCACTTACCTGTCCCTCGGTCCCGCGGTTTGTCCCCCGCAGCCAGTTTTCACCGGCCGTACTGTATTCCAGGAGGCCAGCATCTTCAGTGTGGGCACTGCGCATGCGTGAGTAGCGCGGCACTTCATGAATGATCCTGTAGTCTTCTGGGAACTGTCAAGTGTCCCAAAAGACTACAGGGCGGGAGGGAGGACATCTCCCGCTTCCGATCACCTAGGCGATCGGACCAGAAGTGGGAGCAGGTACCTGTCAAATTCGGGTAACCGCTCCCCCCTGCCCCCCAAAGGTGCCAATCCTTAATGGGGAGCGGGGGAGCAGTCCTTAAAGCGGAACTTCCCCTTTTGGATGGAGCTCCGCTTTAAGATCTAAAACCTTCTGCCTTTAGAACAACTTTAAATCTGAGCTCCAGTCTTACCTTCAGTCTTGCACAGTTGTACAGGCTCCTTTCCTGTAGTGAAATTACTTTGATTTCACTGCACACTGTGCGCTTCTAACAGTGTGCATTTAAAGCTGTAGCAAGTCATTTAGTGCCCACCTCATTTTCTGGCTGGAGGAAATCCAGCAACACCTAGCTGTTTCATCCCCAGCCTGACTGTCTCTGGCCTGCACTTTTCATTCATTGGCTCAGCAAGTACGTATTGGGTTTACCACAGCTTTTTGAGTACAGCATCTTGCCAGTCTCTCCCACTAACCATGATCTGCCTACATTGTACAGAAACAGGGGATGTCACCAGCTGCCAAGAGGCTGCAGGAGATCAGCAACAGCACTAAGAATGAAATTAAGGTGAAAAAATGACAGTTGTTTAACCGTTTCAATACCGTGCAATTTTACACCTTCCTGCCCAGGCCATTTTTCAGGTTTCAGCGCTCTCACGCTTTGAATGACAATTGCGCGGTCATACAACATTGTACCCAAACTAAAATTTTATCATTTTCTTCACACAACTAGAGCTTTCTTTTGGTGGTATTTAATCACCGCTGGGGTTTTTATTTTTTGCTAAATTAACAAAAAAAGACCAAAAATTTTGAAAAAAAACCCCACATTTTTCTTTGTTTCTGTTATAAAAGTTTACAAATAAATAATTGTTCTTTGTAAATTTAGGCCGAGATGTATTCTGCTACATGTCTTTGGTGAAAATAACCCAAATTAGGATGTATTTTTTAGTTTGTAGGAAAGTTATAGAGTTCACAAACTATGGTATAGATCTGATTATTGATCAATCCTGAAGTACTGACAGCCAATCTAATTTCTTGAGGTCCAAGAATGTCAGAATAGTACAGATATCCCCCAAATGACCACTTTTTGCAGAGTAGACAGTCCGACGTACTTCATAAGAGGCATGGCGAGTTTTTTGAAGTTGTATTTTTTTGTCCTAATTTTTTGGAAAATGAAAAAATTAAAAAAATTATTTTCACTATTTTTTTTTTTTTACATACTGTCACCAGTGCAGTACAGTGTCATCATATAACTGGCAAAAGCGGTGAACAGGGACACTGACTGGTGACAGTATGAAAAAAAAAAATATATATATTTTTTTAAATTTTTTTTAATTTTTTTATTATATTTAATTTTTTATTACATTTTTTTTTTTTTAATTTTTTTTCATATTTTACTATGACCAAAGTAGTACAATGTTACCATAGTAACATTGTACTACTTTGGGGAAGTGATCAGTATTTTTTTTTTTTTTTTTTACACAATTTGCTTATAGCAAAGAATTACTTTGCTATAAGCAAGCATTTACCTGAATGAAATCGATTCATTCAGCTTTTTTTTTTTTTTTTTTTTTTTTTTTTTTTTTTTTGTGCTTAGCTGTGATTTGGTCACAGCTAATCACATGACATGTGCATGTGATTAGCTGTGACCATTCACAGCTAGGCACTAGTATACAATGGATGGCATCATGAATGAAGCCATCCATTGTATACAACTGTCATGTGACCTGCTGTGATTGGTCACAGCAGGTCACATGGTACCAGCAACGGGAGCCGGTACTCGGATCTGTCATCGGCCGTGTCCGAGGTGCACTGCCGGTGACAGATCGCACTGCTGCGCCGCTCTGCATTAGCGCAAACGGCGCATGTGCGGGAGCACGCCAAATGGCGTGCACCCGGAATGCAGGGACACAATTGAAGCCGCCAAACGGCCATTGGCCGGGCGGCTAATGGTTAAAAGTACAGTGCTTTAAAAATCTAAATGTCCTTCATTTAGGGGTTACATTTACTAAAAATGATTTTACATGTTAGAATGTAAAGTACCAAGCTTCTTCATTTCCAGACTAATTATCCAGGTTATATCTTTTCTGTATCTTTTGCAGGACACCAAGCATTGCCTCACTGTGAATCTCACCACACTTCGGGTCTGGTGTTACACCTGCAGCAAAGAAGTATTTCTGGATCGAAAGCTGAACTGTCAGTCCCCCAACACCAAACCCCAGGACACTGCTACACAGGTGCTCATGGTGTTTGTTCTTTTTTTTTTTCTTCTGTTTTTCATCTTACTCTCTACTAAAGGGATAGTCTACCCACAACGGATATTTCATTTAAGTGGTCATTCAACATCCCCCCCCACATCCCCCCACATTTGGGTGCCCATATAATGGTCATAGCAGATGCCTGGAAACACGAGCAAAAAAATATTACCTCTGGAGCTATTGAAAGTTGTAAAACTATTTTGTGAGTTAACTCTCCAGCAGCTACCAAGAGCTGAAATAGGCTTCATGCACATGTAAAAAGCAGGTGGATTTTCATGCCTGGAAGGCAAACCTGTAGTGTACAGTCGCCCATAGTAATAAATGGCTGTACCTGTGTATATGCTGTACTTTATTATTTATTTATTAGAGGTATTTATATATCACCACCAACAATGTCTGCAGTGCTTTACATATATTGTACATTCACATCAGTCCCTAACCCTCAAGGAGCTTACAATCTCTAAGGTCCCTAACTCACATTGATACATACACATACTGGGGCCAATAGACAGGAGCCAATTAACCTACCAGCATGTGTTTGGAGGAAACCAACGTAGGCACAGGAAGAACATACAAACTCCAGGCAGGTCGTGGTTTGAGATTCAATTCAAGTATGGCATATTCCTGTGGAATATTCATTACTGTGCCTGGCTGTATGCAACCTCTGCAGTTGTGCTGAAAAGTTTGCATACCCTGGCAAAAATCGTGAAATTTACTCATTGATATTAAAAATTTGTCTGATCATGCCAAAAAAAATGTCCTTTATGTAAGGATAGTGATTATATGAAGTCATTTATTATCACATAGTTGTTTGGCTCTTGGCAGATCTTAAATCCTAATTGATAGGATCAATTCTTGTCTGTAGCCCAAATTGTCCTCAATTATTTTTTTTACCACCAGGCCCGGGAGAAATAAAGCTCCAGACACCAAAGTGTAAAAGCTAAATCTCTGAAAGTTTAATGTGTGCAAACAGTAGTAAACAAGAATTGTACGGACGTTACTAGACCACAATGACCAATGAAATATTATGCTCTTATCAAAGAAGATAGAAAGTACAAATGGCTGATGAGTACCATATAAGGTGATTCCGTTTATGGAGAAATAAAAACTAGACTCGGGAAACGAGAGAGAAGTTACAAGCGAAGCTCAAAACCGAAACTAACTGTTTACATATCTAGAAATGGAGGCATTATAAAAAATGGATGTCAATTAGAAAGACAGATTTCCTTACAATAATGATAACAGAAATCACCCAAATGGCCCTGAAAAAGTTTCCATCCCCTGCAATGTTCGACCTTGATACAGACACACAGGGTGACACACAGGTTAAAATGCCAATTAAAGGGTATTTTCCCACATCTGTGGCTTTTTAAATTGCAATTAATGTCTGTGTATAAATAGTCAATAAGTTTGTTCTTTCTCATGTGGATGCACTGAGTAGGCTAGATACTAAGCGGATATCGTATGTACTCTCCAGCGCCTCAGGATATGCACAGCCAAAAGGGAAGCCAAGGGTACCAGGACAGCGACAACCAAAGGAAATGCTTCAGGGGTGCAGCCCTCCTCAGACGGGGAAATCAGCCACTGGATAGAGAGAAAACAGGTGGCGCACACACCTAGTGTACATTATCCAAGGTTTATTGTAGGAGTGAAAGAATAATAAAAACATACTCACAGACGAAGCATGTATCTAAAAAGCATAGATAATGACAATGGCCACAACGGCAGGCAAGGTGTTCTCACTGTCAGTGCGGTCAAATGGCTGACGCGTTTCGGGGACGAATCCCTTTCCTCAGAGCTGATGACCAGCCTCTGATGCATATGTGTTGAATGGAAAGTAGGAGCCTTGCTGTTGATGCCAGAGGCATGAATGGAAAGTAGGAGCCTTGCTGTTGATGCCAGAGGCATCAACAGCAAGGCTCCTACTTTCCATTCATCACACATCTGCATCAGAGGCTGGTCATCAGCTCTGAGGAAAGGGATTCATCCCCAAAACGCGTCAGCCATTTGACCGCACTGAAAGTGAGAACACCTTGCCTGCCGTTGTGGCCATTGTCATTTTTCTATGCTTTTTAGATACATGCTTCGTCTGTGAGTATGTTTTTATTATTCTTTCACTGCTTACAATAAACCTTGGATAATGCACTAGATGTGTGCGCCATCTGTTTTTCTCTCTATCCAGAGGCTAGATACTAAGCCATGGGAAGCAGAAAAGAACTGTCAGAAGACCTGCGTAACAATGTAATGGAACTTTATAAAGATGGAAAAGCATATAAAAAAGATATCCAAAGCCTTAAATATGCCAGTCAGTTCAATCACCTATTAGGAAGTGGAAAATTCGTGGATCTTTTGATACCAAGCCAAGGTCAGGTAGACCAAGAAAGATTGAAGCCACAGCTGCCAGAAGAAGTGCTCAGGATACAAAGAAAAACGCACAGGTAATCGCAGGAGAAATACAGGTTGTTCTGGAAAAAAGACGGTGTGGTTGTTTTTAAGAAGCACAATACAACGATACTTTATCAAAAATGAGATGCATGGTCAAGTTCAAAGAAAGAAGTCTTTACTGCACCAATGTCACAAAAAAGTCTGAGGCATGTCAAGGTGTTTTCAGGCATATTGTAACCAGGCGTTTTTGTGACATTGGCACAGCAAAGGCTTTTTTTTTCTGGCAACTCGGATGTGATAAGTGATTGAACAGTACTAACTGGCATATTCGAGACTATGAATATCTTTTTATATTCCTTTCCATCTTTATAGTGTTCCATTACCTTGTTACACAGGTCTTTTGACAGTTCTTTACTACTTCTCATGGCTCAGTATCTAGCCTGCTCTGTGTTTAAATGGTCAACGAGTTTGTTAGCTCTCACGTGGATACACTGACACTAATTGCAATTTAAAAAACTACAGATGTTGGAAATTAACCTTTCATTGCCATTTTAACCTATGTGTCATTTTGTGTGTCTGTACCAAGGCCAAACGTTCCAGGGTATGCAAACTTTTGATCAGGGCCATTTGGGTGATTTCTCTTCTCAATAAGATTTAAAAAGAAGCCAAGCAACTGTGATAATAAATGGCTTCATATGAACACTATCCTTAAATAAAAGACAATTTTCTGGCATGACCAGTCATACTTTCAATGTCAACGCCAACATTTCACAATTTCTGCCAGGGTATGCAAACTGTTGAGCACAACTCTATGTCTCCTAGGTTTGAAAATACATCTTTAGTTTTGGGTGTCTGACCTTTGAAGCTGGTCACACATGTTACAGTTTGATTGTACAATCAACAAGTATGCCACATGATCGCCTACTTAACAGACCGTTCAATTCAGCTCAATGTAAATCATCATAACAATAGGTGTCATTGTTTTGAAAAGCTTGTTGCAATATTTGCTCACTGGATCCATATTTCAGGCTCTGCTTCCTGGTGCCACACAATGGCCTTATTATTACTCTCAATAGACTTTGTATGCGGATAATGAGGGAAAGATATCAGAGTTGTTTATTGTTTCCCTGATATGCAGGTGACATCTAGAGGGAGCATTTTATAAATCTGCATATGTTATACAATAATTAAAATATGGAAAAGCCAGTGGGGGTGGAGAAAGGTTCATCAGCCCTTTGTAAGCTTCAGGTCATGATTTGGAGTTCCTGTGAACTTTTTCACTTCACTTCCTACGCAAAACAGAACAGCGAAGGGATGAAAGGAAGGTAGACGTGCAGGTGGTGAATCTTTTTGCTTTTCTTGTCATAGGCAGAATATCTATCTATCTATCTATCTATCTATCTATCTATCTATCTATCTATCTATCTATCTATCCATATCTATCTATCTATCTATCCATATCTATCTATCTATCTATCTATCTATCTATCTATCTATCTATCTATCCATATCTATCTATCTATCTATCTAAGCAAGCGTTGAGCAGTCGTGCAAGACGACTTCAGCCTTCAGTTTATTGGAATATCTGGAGGTTGTGGTCATTCTATCTATCTATCTATCTATCTATCTATCTATCTATCTATCTATCTATCTATCTATCTATCTATCTATCTATTCATATCTATCTATCTATCTATTCATATCTATCTATCTGTCTATCTGTCTGTTTGTCTGTCTGTCTGTCTAAGCAAGCGCTGAGCAGTCATGCAAGACGACTTCAGCCTACAGTTTATTGGAATGTCTGGAGGTTGTGATCGATTTATCTATCTATCCATATCCATCTATCCATATCTATCTATCTATCTATCTATCTATCTATCTATCTATCTATCTATCTATCTATCTATCTATCTATTTATCCATCTATCTATCTATCTATCTATATCTATCTATCTATCTATCTATCTATCTATCTATCTATCTATCTATCTATCTATCTATCTATCTATCTCTGTGGAGTGTTTTTTAAAGCCTAACTATTAAAAGTAGGCAGATCCAGGTGCCATATCTGATCCCCTGCATAGCGCCATTGAACCAGCAATATCTGCTTTGTTTTACATTTTGGCACAAAAGACCAGAATACTTCTCAACAGCTTTATTATACCTCTTTCCAGCTCAGAGTCTTCCTGTTTAATGCTATATGGAAGGAGAGGCTCCATTTATGCAAAATGATGAAACATTAGGAGCCATTAAAGGCAGTTTAGTTTATAAACAGGACTGAGTGCTGATTGTTCTCCATTCTATAGTCCTACAACAAAGTACTTACAAAAATTTTTTTTCACAAAGGATTTAAAAATGACAACAAACCTTACATTGAAAACCCCACCAGCCGTGGTTTATGATAACCTGGATGTAGAACTGGAAGAGGAGGACGAGTTAAAGACTAGAGGTAAGTTTAAAAAATAATTTCAGAAAACCTAAAGCTACTTTATTCTGGCACACTAAATGCATGTGTGTGTATAAACTTTATTGTGTGTATGTTTGTGTATGTATACATATGTATATATGCACAGAATACATTGGATGCCAGATTGCACTTCTAAGAAATCAAACAGGCTTTCATCATTTTTATTGATCACTTTGCTGGTCTCTCTCCAGCACTTCACTTCTTAATCAACTCCCTCTTCTAACTTTCTCTGTCATGGGCTGCATTCATGTCACTTTATAAAGGCCAGAAATCTTAGTTATGCAATCTGGTAAGGGAGGGGTATGCAGCACTAGAGGTGCAGCCCTGTAAATAACCACCATTAAAGCTGTCCATACACTAATTGGAATTTCATGACTGTGTGGGCTCTCCTGTTTGACAGAAGTCAATGGGTTAATCAACTTCCAATGAAAGGGCATGCTGAAAAATGTTCCATTCATCAATGACTGCAGCCACTGATTATCGTATTCTGATAGCAGCGGGTGCTGTTGTCAGAGAGATTACTGTATCTACCTCATTTGTGTGGATGAAACAACCTGCTGGCTGAACAAACAAAACTAACAACGTACAGTCCGTTTACATTCAAGAAATGATATGTAGGTAAAGAGACATTGTCATCTTGTCAATGCAGGGCATCAGTCTTGGAAAGGGCACTCCCCAACCCCTTATACTCACCTTACATATGCTTGCTTGAGGTTCCTTGCTCCTCCGCAGTTGAGGCAGAGATCAGTTGTGTCGGTAAACTGGAGTAATAATGTAGCCACTCCTTTGGTTATGTGATTGACTGCTAGGTCCAAGCAACATCACAGGAAAGCAGGTCACATGCTTGAACAAGGAGCTGCAAGGGAACACAGATGAGGTGACTATATGGGGAATATAGGAGATTGTTCCAGAGACATTGGCAACTTGCCCTTGGTGACGTGCCTCTTTTACATAGAAATGGTGACCATCACACTGGTCACAGAGAGCAAATACGGCTACAGCCAGTGAATCATCACCAGCAGATGAAGACTATTACAGCTGGAGAGGCACCACCCAGTAGAACACTATATTAGGCCTCTTTCACAAGGGGTGGACTCCGCCTGAAATCCACTTGCTTAATAGAGGATCTGTCTGCTGATCCCCGCTGAGCAGGTGGATGACAGGTCCGTGTCCGCTCTGCTTATGCAGAGCAGACATGAACACGGCTTACTCTCCTCTATAGGAGGTCGGATGTAAACTTACCATCTGTCTTATTACATCCGACCATCATCTGAATTGATCTGTTAAATAGCGAATCGGATTGGATGTAGACTGGTGTAAACGGATACAAGCAATCAATGAAGGTGGGTGTGAATGCACACAAGCGGTCTGTCCAGCAATCTTTGCTGTGCAGCCTTTCCAGCAGAATCGCCCCCACCAGGTCCTTGCATGTGTGTACCATGGCCCCATTCTTTACTATAAGTAGCTGTGATGGTGTTCATTAGAATTTGGCTTAGTCATAGGAATGAATAGGAGAGTGGTACACATGCATATTAGAAAGTGGATGTTTTTGTTGGAAAGACCTCTTGGCACTAGGCAAGGAAGCATAACGAAGATTGCTGGATCGAGGAGGAAGGTATTTGTCTGAACGAGGTGGGGGAGGGTGGGCTTGAATTGATTTAAAAGCAGTTGTACCAAAGATCTCACTGTCCTTCAAACAAAATAAGTCAGCAGCTGGTATTTTGGTCACAAGATTGAGCTCCAGTCACTGCAGTTTCTATTCATCTGTACTACCTGCCAAGGATTCGGAGCTTCAGGCACTTCTGGTAGTCACATCCTGGTTTTTTGTTACATAATTGTTCCATTTCACTTAGTACTCAAGTGGCAGCTCTTGACTTGTCCTGTTCCCACTCTGTTCCCATTTTTGCTGAGTTGTCCACATGCTTGTTTTAAGTTTTGGGGGCTGGTGAGGTCCCTACACCCAGATTTCCAGCTTTGCTCTATAGAAATCCCCTTCACAAGGGGATCACACTCCTTCCTGTAATATTTTTTTTCATCTTGCATTACCAAGAATACAGCAGGAAGAGTGAGACTCTTGAGAAGGAATAGAAGAGCAAAAAAACGATGGACATTCTATTGTCTAAAGCAGGGGTCTCCAAACTTTTGAAATAAAGGGCCAGTTCACTTTCCTTCAAACTTTAAGGGGGCTGACTATGGTCAGTGGAAAGAGAAAATGCCCCAGCTTCAGTGGGAGTAAACAATGGGTTTGGTGTTCAATGGGAGTAAAAAAAAAAATTACATTATGAGTGTCAGTGGGGAAAATTGATTTTCCATCTTTGATGTCAGTGGGAGGAATAGTGCCCCATTGTTGGTATCAGTGGGAGGAATGGTGCTCTGCTTTTGGAGGGAATAGTGCCCCAAGGGCCAGATAAAGGCAAGCAAAGGGCCACATCCAGCCTGCGGGTTGAAGTTTGGAGACCCCTGGTCTGAAGAGATTTGAGAAACTGCCTGGGTCACAGCTAAAATATTTGTTTTTGACTGCCTCTTTAGCATATTAAAATACATTTGTTTTAGAAAATGTCATGATTCTTGTCTGCTTTTTCTTTCTCTGTTGATGAAATGTCTTATCATTCTTATTACAGTAGTAATTAGTTACTTTATTTTGTTTTAGGTCTCACTGGACTAAAGAACATTGGCAATACATGTTACATGAACGCCGCTCTGCAGGCCCTGTCCAACTGGTAAGCACATACAGACACTTATGTGCATGCTCTTTTGTATCTTTGGGGTTGACAGTACTCTTTATGGAATAACTCCGGCAGACAAAAATGCTTTTGGATCACTTTTATAGTTTATATCATTTTCAGTTCAATTTGTTGAAGTTGAATTCTAGGCAGATATAGACACAAATGATTGCAGCTTCTGTAAACCTTAACACATCACCAAATGTATTTTTTAAATATAAGCAGCTTAAAAGCCCAAATTTGACCTGGTATTAACCGCTTTCGGTCCCCGTACAGAAAAGCTGGAATGGGGGAGGAAGAAGCGGAACAAGAATCAGTTTATGTGCTGACAAAAGGCATGATGGTAGGAGGAGAAAGCAGCGTGACAGATAGATAGATGAGCTTATCACTGTGCTTCCTCTCCTTTCATTATCCAATCACAGGCTGCGGGCAGGTCCAGGACAATTGGGCTTAGAGAAAGCTGTTTGAATGTTTCTACCAATGATTCATTTTAATTTTACTCCTCCAAGGCCCACATTTCTTTTATTCCCGCTGCTCCATTCAACTGCTGACAAAGAAATTAATGTAAAAAATCTTCCACACTGATGGATATAATGAATTTTGAAAAAATTATATTGCAAAACTTTGAACCAAATAACTTCTTCTACCGATAACCAGCAGCCATACATAAATAAACCCCTAAGTAACATAACTAAATAATAATTACATCGCTGATTTATTAATCTAAAATTCTTAAGTGTGAAAATTCATGCACAATAAATCATTCAATAAAATATGGTGATCAAATAAAGTCCTCCAAGCAATACATGAAAGTATTTTTAATCAAAATTAATTTCAAATGAAATTAGTTCAAATAAAGCAATCCAACGGCATAATGACTAAAAAAAAAAAATTCCCATCACCAATATTATTCTTCCAAGTGTGGACAAATCTTTGATCCAAGGTGACCACCACCACTAATATGGGAAAAAACACATACCGGAAGTGCGTACCTATCTCACTACAAGTTTAGGCAAACACAGCTTGTAATAATTCTAGATCTTACAGACAGGTGCAGTTCATTTAAAGGCTTCACTTCCACTTCAGTCATCTTCCCATTAAGCGGTTAGATTTCATAGCCAGTGTAAAAATAAAAAAACAGGCTCCAATAGTGTAGTACAGGGATCACCAAATGTTGGACCGTGGTCCGGACCTGAGTGACAGTCCTGTCCGGACCACTGGCCTGCCAGGTGTCAGCCTGGGGTGTGCTCTCCTGTGTCTCCTGCCTGGGATCTACTGTCATCCTCACATCAAGGCATAGGGTGGGAGATACTGCAGATCTACACAGGGAGTATGAGTCTTTTCAAATTAATAAGTGGGTAATCACCTTCTTACTAACATAATAATTTGGGCAGCTCCTGCCCTTCATCCAGATCTGCAGCACCCCGCCCGCCCCATGCTGTGCTACGTGGAAGACAGGAGCATCTGGGTAGGAGTCCCGGGAGAGCACAGCGGAAAGCTGATAAGTGCCTATGCCCTGCCAAAGGTAGGACTATGCAGGGGAGGTTTGCATTGTAAGGGGCACTGTGTTAGGCTAGCTTCACATATGTGTGGGGGGTGCGGCTGCGGATCCGCACGAAAATCCACGCAGCCGCACCACCCGCACAGAGGAATGCGGACCCGTGGGCAGATGCCATTAGTTCTAATGGCATGCCGCCCGCACTGGAAAATGCAACCGTACTGGGAACTGAGGTTCCCGTGCGGGCTGCATTTTCAGAAGAAGTGCAGGGACTTCTTCCCTGCGTGTCACGGGGCACGGGAGTCTATTCAAATGAATGGGCTCTCGTGCCCACGTAAAATATGGCCTGCATGGCCGCATATATGTAAACCAGGGGTTATAAAGGGACACTGCAGTGCAAAGGGGTGCTGTTATGTGAAAGGGAACTGAGGACACTGTATTTGGTTTAAAGGAGAGTGGGACTGTGATGTAAAGGGGGACTGGACACTGATGTAAAGGGGGGTTGGGGGTGTGATGCTAAAGGGGTGTGTTGTAAAGGTGGTTATGTTGTAAAGGGGTAGGCTAAAGACACTGATGCAAAGGAGGGCTGTGATGTAAAGGGGGACTGGTGTATGCAAATGTGAGATTCAGACCTCTGCCAGAAGAAAACTAACTGGACCTCCATAAATATTAATCCAAAACGCCTGGTATAGTATCTTAAACATCCAAATTTATTTATAGAAATCAGCGAGCGCTTAAAACAGCTGCTAATGCACTAAAAGGCAACCAAATAACTTCCAAAGCACATATAAAATATTAACGTGTAGCGCTTGTAAAACCAATAAAATAAACCAATAAAGTATAGGAAGTACCAAGTGCTCACATATAAAATGTGCTATGATAAAATTCAAAATAAGTGAAAAATAATATCAAAGTGCTTCAGTAATAAACTTATAGTCCTTGTGGAAGTGAACAAATAAATTATTGTCCATAAATCTGTGACATTGAGTGAAGATCTACATTCAAGTGATCACGAATCATATTCAGCGTGCTGATGAGATATTCAGTGATGTGCCAGGGGTATAATAAAATTACGCACTCACCAGATGCGCATTTTTAATACGCATATATGTATAAGGTATGTTCAGCCAGAGGTCCCCTTTAAGGTGGAACGGATGATGCAGCCTGGAAAGGAATCTCCCTCCTCTGGATCCTGAGCAGCTCTGCAGCTGTCCTTCACATTGAGCTCTGTAAATTATTTAGCTCAATGTGGAGCCAAAAAAGAGGCAGCGCATAGTGTAGTAAGTTCAAGTATTGCAGAATTTATTATAAAAATAAATATGCAGCCATCCACGTGGAAATGCAGGTTAAAAAACAATGTAAAATTGGTCTCAGTTGTATTGTAATACACTGACCCTCCAAGAAGCAAGATGGCCACCGGACCTTCACAAGGCTCTGGTGGCGTGACGTCACGGTGTATGGCTCCTCCTTAACGCGTTTTGTGCCACACACTTCTTAAGAAGGGGTGTGCCTTCTCCTTAACACGTTTCGTGCGTGACACAAAACGCGTTAAGGAGGAGCCATACGCTGTGACGTCACGCCGCCGGATCCTCGTCCGGCGGCCATCTTGCTTCTTGGAGGGTCAGTATATTACAATACAACTGAGACCGATTTTATATTGTTTTTTAATCTGCATTTCCACGTGGATGGCTGCATATTTATTTGTATAATAAATTCTACAATACTTGAAATTACTACACTATGGGCTACCTCTTTTTTGGTTCCACATCGAGCTTAATATTTACAGAGCTCAGTATGGAGGACAGCTGCAGAACTGCTTAGGATCCAGAGGAGGGAGATTCCTTTCCAGGCTGCATCATCCGTTCCCCCTTAAAGGGGACCTCTGGCTGAACATACCTCACACATATATGCGTATTAAAAATGCACATCTGGTGAGTGCATAATTTTACTATACCCGTGCACATCACATCACTGAATATCTCATCAGCACATTGAATATGATTCATGAATGTAGATCTTCACTCAATGTCACAGATTTATGGACATTAATTTATTTGTTCACTTCCACAAGGACTATAAGTTTATTTATTACTGAAGCACTTTGATATTATGTTTCACTTATTTTGAATTTTATCATAGCACATTTTATATGTGAGCACTTGGTACTTCCCATACTTTATTGGTTTATTTTATTGGTTTTACAAGCGCTGCACGTCAATATTTTATATCCAAATTTATTTGACTCAAGTCAAACCAGAGTGAGACTGACGCTGGGAGTGAGTAGGAACTATATGATTTTTGCTGTTTCTGTGAGCTGGGAAGAATGGAAGTGGCTGGTGGATTCTCTGTATATCTTTACCAACATCAACAATATGCTTGCTTGTAAGCCTTTGAGAGTACCTTGATTACTTGTGTCAAATAGATCTGTAATTATTATTTTAGGTATATCAGTAAAGAAATTAGCTGCCATTTCAAGATATGGAGGGTCATGTCAGAATACACAGATTAGTGCTGCAGGCTGAAATTTTCCAACAGGGTGACGGTACAGAAGTTCATTGGTTTATCGACTTCTATTCAACCTCAACCACGGTGCCCATATATGGATCAAAATTTGGCTGGTCCCTGCTGAACCCGCTGAATTTCGATCCATGTATTGGCAGCTTAAGACTGGACTTTTATCATGTTGTTTGACTGACAGGTTCTCTTTCTAAATTGACACTTTGTATGCTCCGTTTTTGCTCTGTGGAAAAATAAAATGTTTTTCTCAAAATTAATCTTTACAGCCCCCCCCTTACATACTTCTTCCTTGACTGTGGTGGTCTGGCACGCACTGACAAGAAGCCAGCTTTATGTAAGAGTTACCAGAAACTGATGAGTGAAATCTGGCACAAGAACAGGTATATCCAACTTCTGCTCAAATGTCCTTGTCTATAAACAAATATTCCACTGGCTCCACTAATATCACACACAGGCTTCTATATTAAGGCAGTACAATGACCAGATTGCTGTAATTCTTATGGTTGCTGTGAGTTACGTCACTTTGCTCACCACTGTTGCCGATTATTCCTTATTAAATAAGCCTGACAATGCATAAGTATGTGTCTTCTAATTCAACTCGGTAATGAACTAACAAAATTCCTTTCCTGGTGTTTTGTACTTTTGTTCTTCTACCTAGGCCTGGTTCTGTTATACCTACTAACTTGTTCCAAGGCATAAAGACTGTAAACCCAACTTTTCGAGGCTATTCCCAACAGGTAAGAAGTCTCTGCTCGGATTCAGTCTCTTGATGACAATTTGATTAGCGCTGAATTTCATGTTCAGGCGGTTTCTCTTAAGATCAAAGAGCCCTGTGAGGCTTTGTAGAGTATCATTTTGGTCTCAGAGGACTGTTTGATTCTTTTATGTGAGTCATGTTGTTTATGTCCTGTGGTTACATTTATTTATTGTGTAATCTGCTTTGTGCTGCAAGTTTGTAATACTCTGGATCCTCTGTTTTACTTTGTCATTGCATGGTCATACCGAAGGATTTGTATTTCTATGAATTTATTCCTGAGATTACGGTCTGGTGCACACAAGGTGTTTTGCAACCTCTCCTAGAAGCCTCTCCTTCTAGCAGCAGTGTTTTGGCAGAAAATAACACTTGACACTTGTAAAAGTGTGTACGGTGTGTAGGCGCATCAAGTGTCAGAGCTTTCATTCATTTCATTGACTAGAATTTATAATGGCTATTGAAATGAATTAGCACCAATGGGCCTTGTGTTAATGTGTGTTTACAGGTGCTTACAAGTGTTTGCAGGCATCAAGCGTTTTATTCTGTCAAAACACTGCTGCTCCTGGATGCACTGGCAGTGGGGGGGGGCAGGGGGTTCTGCCTCTGTTTGGGAGTTCCTATTCCTTAGCTTATGGCCATAAATGGAGAGCTGCTGGAGGGGAGTCATTTCCTGAAAGGACGGTCTCCTATATGACCAAAAAGTGCATCTGACCACCTTTATTGGGATCAGAAGGTCTGGTGAGTGAGCAATCTTTATATTTCCTGCCAGCTATAGTGAAGAAAAAAAAAAAAAAGCCGGCAATTGCATTTAAAAATCGGCAACCGACCTATATTGACAGCCAGTGAGGGAGCCTCTCTGTATACACTGCTCCTCCCCCCTACAAAGAGGACCTGTCACTCATATGTTGTTATTATTATACAGTATTTATAAAGCGCCAATGGTTCGCTCAACGCTGTACATTACAAAGGGGACAGAACATGTGACAGAACAATACAATACAATGCAAAACATGAGGGGATTGAGGGCCCTGCTCTTTCGAGCTTACAATCTAGGAGGGAGGGGATGGTGGCACAGGAGGAGATAGCTGTGGGGGATGGGGTGGTAGGAGAGTGGAGGAGGTCGGCAAGTTAGCAGGGGGTGGGGTAGGCTTCCCTGAAGAGATGGGTTTTCAGGGTGCGCCACATAAGGGACTATTGTGATGGCAATAAAATCATGTTAAAAAAAAAAAAAAAAAAAAAATATATATATATATATATATATATACACACACACACATATACAGGGCGTCCCTAGGGTTGGTGTCACCTGGTGCGGTAACACTTGGTGACACCCCCTCTGACGATCCCTGCAGAATGGATCAGATTTGCGGATTGAGCATAATGGATGGGACTCCAATCCATTATGCTCCCCAATCCGCAGATCCAATCCATTCTGCGGGGATCGTCGGCTTGCTTTACAACTTACCTTTTCGTGGAACGGGTCTGGTGTCACCCCGTATAGGTTGCATGCCGACGATCCCCGCAGGATGGTTCGGATCTGTGGATTGAGCATAATGGATCGGAGTCCGATCCATTATGTTCCCCAATCCGCAGATCCCATCCATCCTGTGGAGATCGTCGACTTGCTTTACAACTTACCTTTTTGTGGAGTGGGTTCGTTGTGACCCTGTGTGGTCGGTGTTATCTGATGCGGGCCGCACCCCCCCACCTGCCATCGGGACGCCCCAGTATAATATATATATATATATATATATATATATATATATATATACATGAAAGTAGAAAAAAATTGGAGCCTCCCCCCACATACGCAGACACTTCAGTTTCAGTTCGGATTTCGGCCACATGCATTTTGAATTTTCGGTATCGGCACCAGAATTTTTATTTCAGTGCACCACTAATATAAACTAAACAGGGAGATAAAGAAAAATGCAGTTTTAGTTTGGTCAATGCAAATATATATATATTTTTTTTGGTATAGGTAAAATACCATAAATATATATTTTAAAATAAACAGAGACCTGTTAAAGAAACACAATTTTATTGTTTTTAGTGCATATTGTTTTTTTGTATAGTTTTCAAAAAAACTATTTTCACATATTTATCATAAGTACACAGATGCCAGCACTGTATGGTTGATTAAACTAACGTGTATCTTTTAGATTTCCACATATTAGTCATTTTCCATAACTGTGCTCCAATTTCAGTAACTGTACCTTAAAGCAGAACTAAACGCTTGAAAATACTCACCTCCCCCTTCCAGTAATGTAATGGCTAAATCTCTCACTTGCTGCTGCTATTTTCTTCCTAGGTTACTTTCAGGTGCCAAATTTTTGGCCACTTGATTGGCATCATCCTGTGCATGCACACGGGATTCAGTCATTCTGGCACAGCTAGACCTTGAATGCATGTTGAGCTACATATCCACTGCTCAGTGTACATTCAATAGAGAACTGCAAGCAGATAGGTAAGTGTGGTTTGACATCAAGCTAGTAATGGATGGCTTTGTTTAACGCCTTGCCTACCGGGCACTTATACCCCCTTCCTGTCCAGGCCAATTTTCAGCTTTCAGCGCTGTTGCACTTTGATTGACAATTGCGCAGTCATGCAAGATTGTACCCATATGAAATTTTTATCATTTTTTTCTCACAAATAGAGCTTTCTTTTGGTGGTATTTAATCGCCGCTGGGCACTTTACTTTTTGCACTATAAACAAAAAAAATTTAAAAAAAAAGTTTCTTTTGTTTTTATTATAACATTTTTCAAACAGGTAATTTTTTTCCTTCACTGATGTGCTTTGATGAGGCAGCACTGATGGGCACTGATAGGCAGCACTGATAGGCAGCACTAATGAGGTGGCACATATAGGCGGCACTGATATGCGGCACTAATAGGCGACACTGATGATGGGTATTGATAGACAGCACTGATAGGTGGCACTGACTGGCATCACTGCTGGGCACTGACTGGCACAACCGCTGGGCACTGACTGGTGGCACTGACTGGCAGCACTGCTGGGCTGCACTGGTGGGCACTGGTGGGTGGCACTGGTGGGCACAGGTGGGTGGGCTCAGGTGGGGGCTCAGGTGGGTGGCACTGCCTGGCACAGGTAGGTGGCACTTCTGGGCACAGGTGTGTGACACTGCTGGGTGGCACAGGTGGGTGCACTGCTGGGCACAGGTGGGCGGAGCTAGTGGGCGCACTGCTGGGCACAGTATACAATATTTATATATATATGTAAAGCGCTGCGTAAATTGACAGCGCTATATAAGTACCTGAAATAAATAAATAAAATAGTGCTGAATGTAAGGTTATGTAATGTACACTGTCTGCGTTTGGGGCCACTTACCTGCTCAGCTGTCAAATTGGAACAAGCAGCTGTGTCCTCTTAGATTTATGAGCTGACTGCACACAGCACTTTGCAGCTTCAGCCTATTAAACTCCCGGCCTATTCACGGACTGTGTCTTAGCACCCGTATGAATGAGGCCTAAGAATATATATATAAATTCTATGTCTTCTCTTTTAATGGTTATTAATGATCATTTGCTCTGGAGCATCACCTGAAAAGATCTATTTATGAAAAAGTCTATATAACAGTCAATCTTTTAAAGGCATGGAAAAAAAATCTAATTTGTGTACATTTCTGGCCTGTATCTTAGGATGCTCAAGAGTTCTTGCGATGTCTAATGGATATACTGCATGAAGAACTTAAGGAGCAGATGGTGGAGGCAGAAGATGACCTACAGCCTGGCATCCTGGAAGAGATGATGGAGGAAGATAAGAATCAGTCCGACAATGATTTTCAGTCCTGTGAATCGGGGTCAAGCAGTGACCACACTGAAAGCGAAAGTCGTAAATTGTCTGAGGAACTCTCAGAATCTGCTATGCTAATCCAGGAGGACCTGAAGGACCAGGATAATCAGAAATCCTGGCAAAGGGAGAAGAGATTCTCCAGCCACATAAGCCAAAACAACTGCCTCCAGGATCTGGAAAAGAACCTTGAGAGTTTGTCCGAGGACAGTGATTACAGTTCCCAAGGAACAGTGAAAGTTCAAATCCAGAGTCGAATATCCGGTAACAAAATATGTTGTGTGTTCTAAATTTGTTATCTCAAGTGTACAGTTTAATATTCATAAATTGTCATTGTCACATGTTGTAGATTATGCCACGGAGGTCAACATTTGTGAGCTATCAGCTTCTCAAACACCCTTGCTAAGCGAAGGCTCTACGTCTCACCTGTCCAGCAGCCCGCCTAAATCCGGAGCTCATTGGGCAAGTCACAAAAAAGGTATCCTGGAAATTTTCCAATTTATTTTTAATATATTGTCCTACAAATTGTGTAATTTAACCTATAGCAACCAGTTTGATTTCACTTTTACAGCTGTCACAGCTGTCAAAGATTGGTTACTATGGAAATGTTTGTATAATCCTTGCTCTTTTCCTTATGAAATCAGGGTGGGGGTATAGTTCATCAGAGTAGTTTCATTGAGGTGCATGTATCTCAGTGTGCTTTTTCTTGTTGTTGGTGTAGAGACTTCCAAGACAGGATAAGGTGAGTATGCAGCAAAACAGGGCTAGTGATTGGGAATAGTTTAAATGTTTTAGACCCTCTTTAGGGGTTGGGTCAAGTGTTTGGGGGTGTTTGTGTTGACCGGCTACTCTATTCACTTAGGTTCTTAGCACTGAATAGTATGCAACATCCACTCACCCGCACTGTTAACAATACCATACAATAAACATCTGCTGTCTCAAGACATGTCCAAAATGAGCTGAATAGATCTTTACAATGGTAACAGACAGGGCTCCTTATTCTTACAATGATAAAAAAAAAACTGAAACGAAGAGCTCCTGAGGATGTCACACTGTGATGACGAAATGCGTAGGGTAGGACTTCCGGTGATGTCACTTCTGCTGTTTGGTTACATGCTGCAGGGCATAGCAGTGTTTCCTAATGTACATATTTAAATACTCCTTTGCTATTATATGAGATCTCAAAGAGACACCAGCAGATACCGGATTCTGGAGAGGTGATAACCATGCGTAATACCTCTGATTTCTTGACTTTCAAAAATAACTAATTTTGATTTGGTAAGTATGGTGTGAGGATTTGGGACACACTGGAGTGCTTTCACTTTCCATGATACCTACGTCATTATTATTATTATTATATACAGGACGTATATACAGTTTGCTACGTTATGGAGGGAGGGAGACAGTACAGTAACAATACAGTTCAATACAAGAGGGATTAGAGGGCTCTGCTCCTTAGAGCTTACAATCTAGGAGGGAGGGGATAGTGGTACAAGAGGTAATTAGCTGTGGGGGATGGAGTGGTAGGAAGAGTATTGTGCGTTCTGAGTGACACAGAGCACTATCACTGTTTGAACTTTCACGTGTGACTTTTTTTATTTTCACAAATATTGTGCCTCTTAGTGGTGAATACCCCACCCTGAAAACTACCAGTAATGAGCTTTCAAAGGTGTAAAATAAAAATATGAGAGGTTCCCCATCCTGGTAGGCAAGGTTCTAGGAAAATGATTCCTTGTTTATCACAGAATTGGCTGTACGTTGAAGTAAGTAAGTTAAAGTATATTACAGCTCCATAAATACAAGTACTGTACTGTATATACGATTTCTTATTCTCTAGTTCCTACCATCTGTCTCCCTAAGAAGAAAAGGCAGCGGAAGTATCGCAGTGTCATATCGGATGTGTTTGATGGCACCATTGTGAGCTCAGTGCAGTGTCTGACCTGTGACAGAGTAAGTTCCAGATATGTTTGTTTTTGATTGGCATTTCATTGTAATGACCTGCATTTATCAGTGTGAAAGGTGCCCATGCATACATGTTCTTGAGATCAGCTTTGTATGAAAAATTAAACATGCGTGATAAGAAAATTGATTTTGTCAGGGAATTTTGTTTTCACCCAGTTTGTCCAGTCTGCTAGGAATCACATAATTTATGAATAATGATTATTCCTGATCTCCAGAACCTTCGGCCTCTTTTGCTTGCAACAAGGTTGCTTCATTTTTCCTTTGACCACCTCTCCTTGGTGCAGAGCCTCTGTCTATTCATTATTAACTGGTATTAAAGCAAAAAAAAAAAAAAGCTTTATAATTGTCAGATAATCCAGTATGTTGTAAATATTCTAGGGATCATAGATAATTGTGTATTTGGGAATGATTGCAGCTGTGCTTTTTATTCTATTCTCAATCAGATCTCTGTAACGTTGGAAACATTTCAAGACTTATCCCTGCCAATACCGGGGAAGGAAGATTTGGCTAAGCTGCACTCGTCGAGCCACCAGACCTCCCTGGTTAAGGCTGGATCATGTGGAGAGGCCTATGCTCCTCAAGGATGGATTGCATTTTTCCTAGAATACCTCAAAAGGTAAAGGTTGTAACTTGTGTATGACAGACCACTGAATTGCAGGCATGGTTTATTTTTATGTAGTTACATTGTTCCAGCTTGGACCAATGTAACTATGTATTTTCTATAAAGAAGAATATAGCAACCGAATGCATGTGATCCTGCGCTGGACAGTGGACTCCACAATGTCAATATCCTCACATGAGTAAGAAAGGAATGCAAGCCTTGCTTCCCTCAATGGACCAGGGAAACCCAAAGAGAACTGTATATAAGAAACAAAAAGAGGGCGCACAGGCCTAGTGCATTACCTTTAAAAATGAGATTTATTTATAAATAGTAAAATACTTACAAGAGAAATAAAATCAGATCAAATGGAAAGCATGTCGCAAAGGATGCAGTGTGATTCAGAAACCCCTGAAGGTGGTCTGGTGGGGGACTGTGAACCTCTGAATAGCTGGTGGTTGATGCGTTTCGAGGTTGTACATCTTCCTCAGAGACTGGCTCTGAGAAAGAGGTACAACCTCAAAACGCGTCAGCCACCAGCTATCCAGAGGTTCACAGTCCCCCATCACACCACCTTCAGGGGTTTCTGAACCACATTGTATCCTTTGCGACATGCTTTCCATTTGATCTGATTTTATTTCTCTTGTAAGTATTTTACTGTTTGTAAATAAATCTCATTTTTAAAGGTAGTGCACTAGGCCTGTGCGCCCTCTTTTTGTTTCTTATATATGTATTTTCTATACCTTGCAGATGCCCCAGGAAGCCGGAAATCACTGAAGTGCACATGGATACTTCAGTGATCTCCACTTGCTTCTACTTGATTGGATGAGGTACAGGAGGCGGAGCGGCAACTTCACACTCATCACCTCATCCAATCAGAGCATGCTTTGTGTTAATTCAGGAAATACATGAGCAGTTGGACGAATTTTAAAGCCAAACTCCAAGCAAGCCTCTAAATATACAAATTAAATACATATTTTCTACCTGCCAAAGATTTTGTATATTTATTTATCCAGTCCTGAGATATACACAGCTACAGCATTGCACTGCTTTGAGGGGGGTTGGTTTTTGAAGTATCACTCACCTGCTGCCACCCTCCCCACCCTGTGACTGAACAGTGAAAAGAGAACAAGAGCACTGATGCACTCATCTCTCTGTTGCTCTGCTCTCTCCTTCTGTCTGCATGTTTCTTGCACTACAGCACAGCTGAGTGGCTCCTTGTGCTGCTTCTTCCTCCTCTTCTTACAAAGATTGCATTAATAAATACATTTAACTGTGTATAAATCTTTGCAGGCTTCATTAGTTTGTGTGTCTTTCACATCTGCTTGAAATTTAGCTTTAAGGTTTGAAATCCAGGCAAACAGCTAAGTAAACCATTACATCAATTATGTGGGAAGTATTTACCTGTCAAAGGACTTGTAATTCTGTCCAGATTATGATAAGATTTACACCATCCTGACACCCTGTACAGCTAGGCTGGTAATCTAACTGTTCTCTGCTGCAATTAAGAAATACAACCAGGTCACCTTCCTGCCCTCAGCCTATTACTGGACAGTGCAGGGACAGTAAGTGACTGATGAGTTCATTCATCTGCTTCCATTTGTGTCTATTGCGGAACATAATTCTGTTTGCAATCATCCGTCCATTTCATGAGCAATGAACATCAATTATTTATTGCCCTAACTCCTGTTAGTAATTACTGTAATAGTGAGTGATAGGGAGGGAGGAGTTGCATACCTAGCCCAGATCATAACATATAGACTGGCTTCGGTTCATCCATGTCTGGAGAGCGGAGAGTGTGGAGTCTTGCAATGTGCACTGCATTTTTTTTTAGAAAGAGGCGTAATATTGTTCTTTGACCTAGTAAAGGACCCAAAGGACTTTTCAATTCAAGATCTATACTGCTTCTAGAGTTAAGGGAATGTCTCCCAATGTGCATACCTGTATCGGTAAACACTGCAAACAACACAGTGATTATTATATTATTATTATTATACAGGATTTATATAGCGCTAACAGTTTGCGCAGCGCTTCACAATATAAGTGAGAGACAGTACAATTACAATACATTTCAGTACACAAGGAATAGGAGGGCCCGGTTCGTGGAGCTTACAATCTAAAGGAAGGGGGAGGTGATACAAAAGGTGATAGCTGCGGGGGATGATCTGGCAGAGGTTATTCAAGTACAGTTCTTAGGTGGAGGTGGGGTAGGCTTCCCTGAAGAAGTGAGTTTTCAAAGATCGCCTAAAGGCAGACATGGTGGGAGCTGACCGGACATGCTGTGGTAGGGAGTTCCAGAGGATGGGAGAGGCTCTGGAGAAGTCCTGGAGGCAAGTGTGGGAAGAGGTGATGAGGGAGCTAGAGAGGAAGATATCATGGGAGGAGCGGATTGGGCGATTTGGGCGGTATCTGTGGATGAGGTTGGTGATGTAGCTAGGGGCAGTGTTGTGGGTGGCTTTGTAAGCTGTGGTTAGTATTTTGAATTTCATACGTTGGGTTAGTGGAAGCCAGTGAAGGGATTGGCAGAGGGGGGCAGCAGTCACTGATCGGTTGGTAAGGTATAAGAGTCTAGCAGCAGCATTCATAATAGACTGAAGGGGGGATAGCCTGTGTAACGGTAGACCAGTGAGGAGGGAGTTGCAGTAATCGAGGCGGGATATAAACAAGGCATGGATAAGTTGTTTTGTGGTGTCATTGGTCAGGAAGGGGCGGATTTTGGAAATGTTCTGGAGGTTGAGGCGGCAGGATTTAGCCAGTGATTGGATGTGGGGCCCAAAGGAGAGGTCAGAGTCTAGGATTACGCCAAACACCCTGGCATGAGGGGAAGAACCAATGGTTGTGCTGTTGATGTTAATGGTAAAGTCGTGAGTGGGGGGTCGGGGAGGAGGAAATATTACAATCTCAGTTTCTGAAAGATTGAGTTTGAGGTAGTGATGTGACATCCATGCTGATATGTCGCTTAGTAGATTTGTGATACGTGAGGAGATTGAGGGGGTGAGCTGGGGAGTGGAGAGAGAGATCTGGGTGTCATCAGCATAGAGGTGGTATTGGAAGCCATGGGAGGTTATCAGTTGCCCCAAGGAGGAGGTATAGAGAGAGAAAAGGAGGGGCCCAAGGACAGAACCTTGGGGTACCCCACCAGAAAGAGGAAGCGGAGGAGGAGGAGTTGTGACACTGAAAGTGCGCTGATAAAGGTAAGAGGAGAACCAGGAGAGAGCAGAGTCATGGAGGCCGATGGAGTGGAGTTTACTGAGGCGGAGCTGGTGGTCGAAAGTGATTTACTGTTGTGCCTCTGAGACAGGAAGTGAAGGGAAATCTCCCCAACGGAGACGCAGATGGCAATTAAAATCTAACAGAGGTTCTAAGGCCTTCACACACTCTGTATAGCTGGTGTTGAAGTATCCATTTATTGGCCTGAGAGGAACCTTGAAAATATTTCATACTTGTTTGCACATTTTTTTTCTAGCTGGTTTTGGGGCCCTACAGTCACGCTACAGGATTGCCTTGCAGCTTTCTTTGCCAGAGACGAACTTAAAGGTGAGCTATAGCAGGGAGTCTTATCATTTTATTTGGTTCCTAATATTATATTTAACACATAACTATAGTTGCCAGAATCTAACTGGTTGTATTTTCTGCTACAGGTGACAATATGTACAGCTGTGAAAAATGCAAAAAGTAAGTCTGAAAAAGATTTATTTCTCTTTTATGTAAAAGTGTGGTTAATGGATGTGATTGTTATCCTCCCTGGCGGTATTCCCGAGTGTAGCTCGGGGTAAAGTTTCTGTACCAAAAGCGGTAACCCCGAGCTACACTCGGGCTTACCATGCGGCGCTGCACAGGGAGTCCCTGCAGAGCTTACCTTGTCCTTCGCTCCCGCGATGTGTCCCCTGCAGTGTCCCCGGCCATCTCGTCCGGCCAATGCCGGCATCCGGCTTCTGTGTTCCGGTCCCTGTGACGTCGGGACGTACAGGCGCTGCCGGCAGTGGGAAATTTGAAAATTTTTTAAAAATTTCATTTTTTTCAAAACGAATTTTACATAGTAAAACATTGCTGTTTCAAACCATTTCACATACATTTTGTCCCGAGTGCTTTGTCCTGTCCCCTGTCTGCATTTTTACTGTTCTTTCTGCCTGGAAACTTAGAAACGTCCATGGCGTCCAAAAAGCGTCCCTTTAGGTCAAAAGCGGGTTTAGATCAGCTAGAGAACAGCGATAGTAAATCAGAACCACTTGCAGAATTGAGTGATAATGATTCGTGGAGAAATTCGTCATCAGACACTGAAAACAATTTTGCGACTTTGCTCAGTGATGTGCGAACTTGGCGCTCTATTTCAAATTTCAGTGTTTTTGGTTTAATTATATTATTGAATTAAATGTATTATTATTATTTTTTATGATTATTTATTAAATTATAATTTATGATTTTGTGTTTCAAATTTTATCATCCCCGGGATGTTTACTAGACTCTTGTTCGGACAGATTTCAGTGAGTTATTCCTAAATATTACAGCCTACAATAAAAAAACTACATATTTCCATGCAAAATATTGGTACCGCTTTCAACACCAAAAATCTGAAATAATCATACCGCCAGGGAGGTTAAAGAAGGAAAAAATTGATAGTGGTTCTGATAGTAAACAGTGATATCAATGCTGTGTTCTCTGACTTTCTGTCATTATGAGTTAGATTACCTTCTATCCTCTTTGGAACACCCGTGATGCTTCCTCTGTAGAAACAGATGGTTGGCTGTCAGCTGAGATCATGGCTTATAATGTCCAGTTTAGGACATTCTTTATTTATGAAGTTTCTCTTCAGCATGGATATCAGAGCAGGACTGTTGCCTGAGGCTGTGCAGTACCTTAAATCTGAATTCTGGGTACTTTTTTCCGCATAGTTACATTGTTCCAGCCTGGACCAATGTAAGTATACATAATGTATACCTGGCTGATCTTTGTGAAAGTGAAAAATCACCGTAGTGGCCGCTGCTACTACAGTGGTCCTCACTGTTTTCATGGTCTCCATTCAGAGAGCAGTTTGCATTTTTCTCAGTGAGTGCAAAGAATTCTCTGATTGGAAAAGTGGGGTGGTGATGTCAAGATGTCCACTTTATCCAGTCAAAGAACACTTGGTAGTCAGTGAGAAAATACAAATGATTTGCCCATGCTGAGCGGACAACCACCCTGTGGTTACTTTGACCAGGAAGACAGTGAGGATCACTAAAGTAGTTACGGCGACTACAGTTAAGCCGAATGTCGGCTGGTCCAATAGAAACAATGTGACACACAGAAAATATTGTGACACATTCCTCTTGATTCAAACCAAAGTTGGCATAGCAGTTTATCTGCAATATCAGTTGTATTTATCCCTCTGTGTTTTTTTTTTCTTTTTTCAAACGCAGTTTAATGCAGTGAGCACAATTAAAAAAAAAAAAAAACATTCAGGAAACTATTACACTTACTATCCCTCTCAGCAGCAGTTTATAATAATTTAATGCTGCTGGCTGTTGACCCTCAACAGTAAAATCAGTCTGTATATGCAGCAAAGCATGCTTGTTATACTCACTGTGGAACCTAAGGGGTTAATCCCCCACATTGTGTAGAAAGGATGTTTGATCCCGTCTTCTTTGATCCTCCCCTTCTTCCAGTGTTTCCTAAATATGTCCTGATAAAACAGAGGCTCGGGGGCAAGCTGCACATGCTCAGTTTGGTGTGTATTGCTAGTTTTTTTTTTTTTGTCTTGGGAGAGTGCATGTGATCAGCAGGGTCAATCAGCACTGTCCAGACAGAGGTTAGGGGTCCTGCATCCTCCTACAGGAGAATGAAAACTCCTCCTTCAAGTTGCAACCAGTGCTCTGCTGGACACTGATAGAAGTCACAAGACTGCTATGTACTGCTGATTAGAAAAGTATTTAGCAGTTTATATTTACTATAATAATTGCATTTCCATGTTCTGTGTACTATGGGAGACCAGATATAGTGAATGCAGGGTTTAGTAACACAGTGGACAATGCTGTCTCCACGCAAGTCTATTAGCTTGGAGAAGGGACTGAAGTAGGGGAGGATCAGGGGAGTACCATGCCCCCCTAAAACCTTGTACACACGGGCCAAAATGGACCAGTTTGGCAGGACCTGGCTGACTTTTGGTCCGTGTGTACAGCTGTCTGTCCTACAGAAGCCAGTCCCACAAACAGCTTCTGTCAAACAGGCATGCTGGAAAACCAGCATCCAGGCAGCGCTGGCAGCCAATGGCAGTGAGCACTGATCGCTGTGTTCTGACGGGGGGGTCAATCCACCTGTCAGAACAAATGTGTAACCAGCCTAGGATAAGGTACTGTGTGCTGGTATTGTTGCACACAGTGTAGGGAGACCTAAATCTAGTCCATGCGTGCAAGGGTGGCTCCATAGGATGATGCTAGAGAAAGGAGCCACCCTGAGGTAGCTATCATGGCACCAGCTTAAATGGGAACATAGGCAAGGATTAAAAGAAAAAAAGCTGCCTACTTAGTGCTCTCTGAATGCTATAAAACTAAGGTTTTAATATCACTTTAATTGCAGTTTTAAAGGAGAGTGGCTGTTCATTCATTGCTCTGTCTGCAATAATTTTTTTTTTTCCCTGAAGGTTAAGAAATGGCGTCAAGTTTTGTAAAGTGCAGAAATTTCCTGAGGTGAGCTTTTTAAACCTTCAGTAAAATATTTATACATTTTCTACTTTTGGTACTCAGCAGGTGATGTCTTTAGACAGCCTTCCCCAGCTGTGTAACACAGCACCTGCCATGCTTTCATGTCTGGTGGCTGACAAGGCATGCTGGGATATGCATGATGTCCCTCTGGAAATGATCACTCATATCCTAAAACTGAATTTTTATCACAGTGATGGATTTTAAATATACCTTGTGTGCGTTTTTTTTTTTTTTAACCACTTGCCGCCCTGCCACTGTAGAAGTACGGCGGCAGGGCGGCATGGGCAGGCAAAACCACGTTTTAAAACGTGTGTTTTGTAAACAAATAGGGGGTGCGTGCGAGGCGCGCCGCTGCCCTATCTGTCCCGCCGATCACCGCCGCGGATGTCAGTCGCCGGGTCACAGCCGGTCCTTACGGCTGTTTCCCGGCGATCGGCGGCAAACAGTGACAGACAGCACAGCTGCAGTAGCTGTGCTGTCTGTCACTTCCCTGACAGCTTGAGGACGAGCTGATCGAGAAAGAAGAGTTTCTCTCTCTCGATCAGCCTTGTCCCGTGCAGCACACACCCCCCCCCCTAGTAAAACACTCCCCCTCACACAGATAACCCTTCCCTGCAAAATAAAGTTAACCCCTTCCTCCCCATTGCCATTAGTACAGTGTCAGTGTTTTTTTTTTTTTTTTGCACTGATCACTGTATTAGTGTTTTTGGGAATGTCAGTGACCCCAAGTCAGTACCCCCCCAATGTCAGAATGTCCGCCGCAGTCCCGCCATAAGTCGCTGGTCGCTGCCATAAGTCACTGATCGCCCCCATAATTCGCTGATCGCCGCCATTATTAGTATAAAAAAAAAAACTAAAAAATCCCAGTATCTTTCCCGCCATTTGTAAACGCTATAACTTTCACGTAAACCAATTAATTTACACGTATTGGTTTTTTTTTTTTTTTTTTAGCAAAGACATGTCGCAGAATGCATTTTGGCAGAAATTTATGACTAAATTTGATTTTTGCATTTTTTTTTACTGGACATGTTTTATAGCAAAAAGTCCAAAATATTGTTTTTTTTTTCCTCAAAATTGTCAGCCTTTTTTTTTATAGCGCAAAAAATAAAAACCGCACAGGCAATCAAATACCACCAAAGGAAAGCTCAATTTGTGGGGGAAAAAAGGATGTAAATTTCATTTATGTACCATATTGCATGACCGCGCAATTGTCCGTTAAACTAGCGCAGCGCTGTATAGCAGAAAAATGGCGTAAATTGCAGTATTTATACCATAGTTTGTAGACGCTATAACTTCCACACAAAGCAATCAATATACACTGGTGGGATTTTTTTTTACCAAAAACATGGAGCAGAATACATTTTGGCCTAAATTTATAACCAACTTTGAGTTTACTACCGTATTTGCCGGCGTATAAGACGACCCCCTACTTTTCCTGTTAAAATATAGGGTTTGAGCTATACTCGCCGTATAAGACTACCCCTCTTCCAACGCAACCAAATAAAAATGAAAAAACATCAGATTTGATTTCAGTATGGTATGGTATTCCAATGATGGGGTGCTATTCCTCCCACTGACACCAATGATGGGGTGCTATTCCTCCCACTGACACCAATGATGAGGCACTACTCCTCCCACTGACAAATGGTGCCCCATCAGTAGTGTCAGTGTGTGAGGAATAGTGTCCCATCATTAGTGTCAGTGGGAGGAATAATGCCCCATCATTGGTGTCAGTGGATGAAATAGTGCCCCATCATTGGTTCAGTGGGAGGAATAGTGCCCCATCATTGGTATCAGTGGGGAGAAAAGTGCCCCATCATTGGTGTCAGTGGGGGAGGAATAGTGCCCCATCATTGGTGTCAGTGGGGGAGGAATAGTGCCCCATCATTGGTTTCAGTGGGGGAGGAATAGTGCCCCATCATTGGTGTCAGTGGGGGAGGAATAGTGCCCCATCGTTGGTGTCAGTGGGGAGGAGGAATAGTGCCCCATTGTTGGTGTCAGTGGGGGAGGAGGAATAGTGCCCCATCGTTGGTTCAGTGGGGGAGGAATAGTGCTCCATCATTGGTGTCAGTGGGGAGAATAGTGCCCCATCATTGGTGTCAGTGGGGGAGGAATAGTGCCCCATCATTGGTGTCAAAATCATTGGTGTCAGTGGGGAGAATAGTGCCCCATCATTGGTGTCAGTGGGGAGAATAGTGCCCCATCATTGGTGTCAGTGGGGGAGGAATAGTGCCCCATCATTGGTGTCCGTGGGGAGGAGGAATAGTGCCCCATCATTGGTGTCAGTGGGGAGGGAGGAATAGTGCCCCATCATTGGTGTCAGTGGGGAGGAGGAATAGTGCCCCATCATTGGTGTCAGTGGGAGGAATAGTGCCCCATCGTTGGTGTCAGTGGGGGAGGAGGAATAGTGCCCATCGTTGGTGTCAGTGGGGGAGGAGGAATAGTGCCCCATCATTGGTGTCAGTGGGGAGAATAGTGCCCCATCATTGGTGTCAGTGGGGGAGGAATAGTGCCCCATCATTGGTGTCAGTTAGTGCCCCATCATTGGTGTCAGTGGGGAGGAGGAATAGTGCCCCATCATTGGTGTCAGTGGGAGGAATAGTGCCCCATCGTTAGTGTCAGTGGGGAGGAGGAATAGTGCCCCGTCATTGGTGTCAGTGGGGAGGAGGAATAGTGCCCCATCATTGGTGTCAGTTGGGAGGAGGAATAGTGCCCCATCATTGGTGTCAGTGGGGGAGGAATAGTGCCCCATCATTGGTGTCAGTGGGGAGGAGGAATAGTGCCCCATCATTGGTGTCAGTGGGGAGGAGGAATAGTGCCCCATCATTGGTGTCAGTGGGGAGGAGGAATAGTGCCCCATCATTGGTGTCATGGGAGGAATAGTGCCCCATCGTTGGTGTCAGTGGGGGAGGAGGAATAGTGCCCCATCGTTGGTGTCAGTGGGGGAGGAGGAATAGTGCCCCATCATTGGTGTCAGTGGGAGAATAGTGCCCCATCATTGGTGTCAGTGGGGGAGGAATAGTGCCCCATCATTGGTGTCAGTGGGGAGGAGGAATAGTGCCCCATCATTGGTGTCAGTGGGAGGAATAGTGCCCCATCGTTGGTGTCAGTGGGGAGGAGGAATAGTGCCCCATCATTGGTGTCAGTGGGGAGGAGGAATAGTGCCCCATCATTGGTGTCAGTGGGGAGGAGGAATAGTGCCCCATCATTGGTGTCAGTGGGGAGGAGGAATAGTGCCCCATCGTTAGTGTCAGTGGGAGGAATAGTGCCCCATCGTTCGTGTCAGTGGGGAGGAGGAATAGTGCCCCGTCAAAGGAGGAATAGTGCCCCATCATTGGTGTCAGTGGGGAGGAGGAATAGTGCCCCATCATTGGTGTCAGTGGGGAGGAGGAATAGTGCCCCATCATTGGTGTCAGTGGGGAGGAGGAATAGTGCCCCATCGTTAGTGTCAGTGGGGGAGAGGAGCGGCTGCTCCTTCTTTCACTTCGGCAGCTTGATTTTCGCGGGCCGTTCGGCTCCGCCTCCTCGCCGGTGATTGTTCGCCTGTGTGCGCTGGCGCCTAATTACCGGTAAGGAGGCGGATCGAGGTGCCGAACTGAAAGAAGGAGCAGCCGCGCTTCCTGGACCATATCATCGTGGGACCGGGACCGGAGCCAAAGGTACAGCAGCCCCTCTGCCCACCCCTGTAAGTGTCCGTTGGAGGACACCGCCCCTGGAAAAAGTGCCGCCCTGACACACCGGCTTATACCGGCGTATAAGACGACCCCCGACTTTTCAGAAGATTTTCAGGGGTTGAAAAGTCGTCTTATACGCCGGCAAATACGGTAATATTTTTTATAGCTGAAAGTAAAAAATATTGTTTTTCCTCAAAATTGTTGGCCTTTTTTTGTTTATAGCATGAAAAATAAAAAGCGCACAGATGATCAAATACCACCGAAAGAAAGCTCTATTTGTGTGAAAAAAAGGACGTAAATTTTGTTTGGGTGCAGCATTGCATGACCGCGCAATTATCAGTTGAATTAGTGCAGCGCCGAGTAGCAAAAAGAGGCCTGGTCATTAAGGGGGGTAAATCCTCTGGAGGTCAAGTGGTTAATTTAGCTGTAAATTTATTGCCACTACTATGATCCACCACCAAAACCAAATAAACGAAATAAATTCTCTGCATATGTGTATAGTTTATGTTCAGACCCAAAGTAGGGACAAGAAACAGTAGTGAGCATTTTGCTTTTTTATCCTATCCCAACACACTGAATAAAGAAAACAAACAAAACCTTTTTTTTATACACTTCCCATCATTAGGACGTACCCCTTTAGAGCCACTGGATTGCTTTTCCAGGCGATGGAACACCCACCCCCTTGTTTATCCTTTGTAATAGTAATAAAAATTATTTAAAAAAATTTGAGACATTTAAAAAAAAAATAATAAAATAATAAAAAATTTTTTTAAGAAACTCCTTTTCGCAAAGCTCACTCGCAAATTAGAATGCTCTTGTCGGTTCCACACACATACATTATATTGCCAAAAGTATTGGTTCGGCCTGCTTTACACGCACATGAACTTTAATGGCATCCCAGTCTTAGTCCATAGGGTTCAATATTGAGTTGGCCCCGCCCTTTGCAGCTATAACAGCTTCAACTCTTCTGGGGGAAGGCCGTCCACAAGGTTTAGGAGGGTGTCTATGGGAAGGTTTTACCATTCTTCCAGAAGCACATTTGTGAGGTCAGGCACTGATGTTGGACGAGAAGGCCTGGCTCACAGTCACTACTCTAATTCATCCCAAAGGTGTTCTGTCAGGTTGAGGTCAGGACTCTGTGCAGGCCAGCACTGCAAAGTGAAAACAAAAAGAAAGGGTATCAACCTTGCCCATTACCTCAATAAAAAACTGATTTTATTAAAATGAGATATATACTCACCAACAAAGCAGAATAACAAGCGTATAAAATCCTGAAAGGAACATTGAAGTGCAAGACCAGTACCAGTCACA